GTGTGAACCCTGGCAGAAATTTGGGGAAGTGGGGCGTGTGACCCTGTCTCTCCCCCCCCAACACACACGTGTTACCTGGCGCCATGTCTTCCCGAGGCACCAGGAAAGGCGGGTCCATCCCCAGGGGCCCAGCCAGGCATGGAGGGTGGAGAGCACTGGGTGGGGGGGTTCAGGTCGGTCAGTCACCTCCCGCCCCCATGTGAGAGAGGGGTATGGGAGTGTGTGTGTGTAACCTCTCCCTGTGGGGGGGGATGGGGTGTGTGTGTCACCCCTCCCCATGTGAATCCTAAAGCCTTAACGGTAAGAAGATAAATAAAAAAAAATCCAACTACACAGTATTTCTTTTTAACAGAGGCTCAGTCAACTTGATGTTAATTTGAATGTTTGTACTGCATAATTCTGATTGATTGCCATTGAACTTGCTTGAATACAAGTAATTTTACCAGGTGTCCCATATTCAGCGTAGGGAAATGCTGAGAGGGGGTGAATTCACCATCCCCAGCGCCAGATAGGAAGACTGAGGGTTTGAAAGCTGCCGATCTCACTCCACATGGGAGCCGCCCAACTGGTCGTATCCCAGGGACATTGAGTGGATCATTGTAGCAGGTGAGGGACCCGGCTCAGTGTCTCTGCTCAGTGTCTCAGCCCCACACCCAGCCAGACCGTCATGGTGGTCTCTGGGCGGATGAGACACTCCTTGGGGTGTCACTTAACCTGCCTGTGCCTCCATTTCCCCTTGCATAAATGGGGGATAATCATCCCTCCTGCACCTTATGTCTGGTTAGATAGTCAGGGCTTGGCTTTCGGGTGGGGGCTTTTTCTCACCATGTCTGTGCAGCACCCAGCACCTCTTACGCCCAGCCCTCTTCCGATCTAACCACTAGACCCCACCTCCTTCCCAGAGCCAGGGATAGAACCCAGAAGTCCTGGCTCCCAGGCTGTAGGGCCCCATTAAGTGGATAGACGGGTACAGGGGGGTGCTCTGGATTTTAGGCAGTTTTGGGCATAGCTCCCGGTAATCTCTGGGATCTCGGAGAGGTTCCTCTGGCTGGGTTTTCTCGCAGGGGCCCCATCTCTGGGACCATGTGGTGAGGACAGGGCGCAGTGACTGTGCCAGGGTCTGTCTCACAGCCTGTCTCCTTTTCACTGCGGACATCACTACCCCAAACCCTCCTCTCCATGAGTCCCAGTTGGGGTGTTGCCCTGGGGGGAGCCATGACCATCCAGTGTTCGGGACCATACCGGAATGTGAGGTTCCTTCTGTACAAAGATGGAAACCCCAGCGTGTTGGGGACCTGGCTGAGTTTCCCATCCACAATGTGAGCCGGAGAGACACAGGGAGCAACACCTCCCCATCCCCACCATGACTCATCCCCACTCTCTATCCCTAGTCCTTCTGTGCAGTTCTGGAAAGTCAGACTTACTAATGTTTGGGAAGTGGGGTGCCTGGAAGGCTGGCATCCTCACTAGGGCTGAGCTAAAGCTGTGTGTGTGTTTTCAGTCTAGAAGGTATGTCCTGTCAAATACCTTAGCTTTTAGTTTCCTTGCTTTTCTGCTAGGAATGTTGTGTATAGTGCAACCTGAACTGACCCACACAGCGCAGTGGTTGTGGATTCATGTCTCAGCGTTTCTAGGTTCAAAAAGGATCTTCGCCCAGTTGTTGTTACTTTCACAAAAAACAAGATCTTTGTGAAGCCCCCCAGATGGCAGAGGAGCTCGTCTTTCAGGGCAGGGCACTTTCACAAAGATACTGTTCTTCATGAGAGCAGACACTGTTTTGTCAAAGGCCTTCCTCTATGATGTAACACAAACGCTGCCCTTATGGAAGAACCTGTTCCCCTTCCCCAGGTGCTGCAGCAGGCACCTGTGACATTGTTCTGCTCTCATAAAGACTAGAAGACATTTGTGCACAAGGTAACTATTCTTAAGGCGTATGAACGTCCATGAAGGGGAAGAGACGCTAGGCAATCATATTCTGTCTTCTCTAGGTTGGACAGCTGCACTCTCACAGGGGCTTCTATCTGAAACTTATCACTTGCTTTTAGTATAAACCACGCCCTGGAAGAGCGGCACCTACAGTTTAACAACCTGCCCTTTCCTTTAGTTACTCATCTTTATAAAGAGCTGAAAGGTCACAGGGGTGATCTAAAGATAAGGATGTAAAAGTCATGGTCTGATCCATTTGAGGACTGTGGGATGGCTATTCATTTAAGCAAATGCCGTTCTTAACATTTAGTGTCATGACTAACGGGCAGGGTGAATAAAATTGTTGACTTTATTTAAATATATGTTTTGGAAAAATATAGGTATTGTTTCATATTCTCTGTGTGTATATAAAGTCTGCTGCAGTTTCCACGGTATGCATCTGATGAAGTGAGCTGTAGCTCACGAAAGCTCATGCTCAAATAAATTGGTTAGTCTCTAAGGTGCCACAAGTACTCCTTTTCTTTTTGCGAATACAGACTAACACGGCTGTTCCTCTGAAACCTATATTTATAGTGAAATTTTAAACCATGCCAGCCTATGTTAAGGCCTAAACTGATTACTTAATTAAAACTGTTTGATGTACTGCTTGAATACTTCTTTGTTAGTGCTCTTCAATTAGCAGCCTGAGGGCCAGATCTATCTGGTCCATGAGAGCCTCTGTTTGGCCCTCAGCTGTTGCATCCTGCTCCCTGGAGGGGCCTTGCTACCTGGCTCCAGGTCTGCTGGGGACCTCTGCTGCTTCCAGCTGCAGTGTCCCCATGTTGACTCTCCTCTGAGCAACCCCCTTCCCTCTCTGCAGCTAGGGAGCAAAAGGGACCAGCTGGAGCCGGATACCTGGGCTGCCCTTATAATAGAGCCCCTAGCAGGGAGGGAACCAACTGATGTCCAGCAGGCCCTCAGAGGCACCTCCAGCCTGTGTGCTCCCCTGCCAGGCAGCTCCATTCCCTCTTCAGCTGCAGAGCCTCCTCTGAGCCCGCTGAAGCTGGCCCTGGCAGCAGGGTGCAGCATGCAGAGATGCTGCAGCTGGGTCTGGTGGGGGGCACAGGAGTCAGAGCTGAGTAGCAGGACCATCCATATGCAAAGTCCCCAGCTGGGTGCAGGTGGGGATGGGCTCTGGAGAGAGTTGCCCCTTCTCCCCTCCCAGCTCCCCTCACTCAAGCAGTGCAAAGGCGGCTCCTGGCTCCTGTAGCGGCTCCCTCTCTCCACCCTTGGGACCAAAAATCTCAGTTACCCATCTGAGCAGGGGGAGTACACTGCTCATTGGGATAATCAGGATTTTCCATTAATTGAAATTTGGATAAATAGGCTTTTACCATCATGCCCTGTACAAAATGTGCCCAATTGAACTAGGAGTCTGTGTGCCATTCAGAAATCAACCAACATTGCATCTTTGATACACATTGTGACATGCCCTTGGTGTTATCTGGACCGGTGATCTGCTAGATCACTCCAATCTTAACTTAACTTGACTCTAGGAGCCAGCCTTACCTTGCTTTGCTGTGAGAACCCCCACCCTGGGCTGTTCATGCACAGCCTCTGGCATGTCAGCTACTCCTTGGATTGTGCAATCGAATGACTAGCCCATATCTCCGGTCCCAGACACAAGCCTAGGAACCTCCGTCTTGCAGCGTCCAGTTCTGCTCACTGGATTCCAGTATCTTTTGTTCCTGTGAGGCTGGGCTGGGTTTGTCTCATACATGCCCTGATGAGGTGTGAACTGCCCCTCTGCTTCTGGAGAGTTTTTGCCTAGGCTTGCTTTAAGCCACAAGGACACTTTCAGCCTCATAACTATATACATGAAATTACAACCTATAACATTACTGTAACGATTACTCTAACACTACCATAACAACAATGCTCAGTGCATCATGAGCCTTCCAAAGACACCCAACATGACAAACTTTGCATTAGGTACCACACAATCCTATTATAAGGATGAACATGGGGGTGCTCGGTGTTCCCCTGAGGTACAGAACGTCACAGAGTGAAAGCAGTGAAGTGATTGCAAAGTTGGAGTTTTCAGGCTGCAGGTTGCAGAAAAGGAGAGGGAGCACCAGAGATTATTGCTATTGAAAGAACTGGAGCTAAGGGAAAGAGAGAGAGAGAAGAGAGAGGCGCAGCCAGGGAGGAGGCTGCACACAGAAGGGCTATGGAGGCAGAAGCAGCACATAGAAGGGCAATAGAAGAGAAAGAGCAGGAAGAAAGAGGACACTGGACTACACAACAACAAAGGATCTGTTGGACTCTCAAGGGAGTCACCCCCATTCCTTTGGTCAGTTTGGGACTGCGATGAGGTAATGCTCACCTGACTCGGAACTGGGGGGGAGAAGGGGTAAAGTCAAGATAGAAGAAAGAAAGGGAGAGATGATTGCCATGCTCTTGCTCTCTCTTCCACCTCCATCTACAGACACCACCACCAAGCAACTGAAGCACTGATCAAAGGGGAGAGCCTGGCTGAAGAGCAACCAGGGGAACATTACATACTCATTTTCCTGGTTTCCTGTTCTTACTTCCCTTTCCTGAAATAACAAACAGAAAATAACAAAACTGTGACCTCCTCCTGACTGTTCTTAGTCATTGCACGACTCACTTAAAGTCACAAATATCAGTGCTTAAAGTGTAAACTCCACTTGGAGTAACAAGCTACACATACACCCTGCTTGCTGTGCCACTGTGATGTTCCCCTGGTGTTATCTGGACCGGTGATCTGCTAGGCCACTCCAATCCTTGACTCTGGGAGCCAGCCTTACCCAGCTCTGTTGTGAGAACCCCCACTCCTGGGCTGTTCACACACAGCCTCTGGCATGTAAGCTGCTGCCAGCTACTTGCAACCGAATTACACTAGCCAATATCTCCAGTCCAGACACAATCCTAGGAACCTCAGTCTTGTAGTGTCCAGTTATGCCCGCTGGACACTGCAAGCTTATATGAGTTCATCACTTTAACAAAGTGATATGTACCAGGCTTGTTATCCTAAGGGGAGTCTCTGACACTCTTCAAACCAAACGCACTGCTTCAGGTAGAATAAACAGATTTATTAACTACGAAGACAGATTTTAAGTGATAAGTCAAAGCATAAGTCAGATTTAGTCAAATGAAATAAAAGCAAAACGCATTCTAAGCTGATCTTAACACTTTTGGTGCCCGTACAAACTTAGATGCTTCTAACAACAGGCTGGCTGGCTGCTCTTCAGCCAGGCTCTCCCCTTTGATCAGCGCTTCAGTTGCTTGGTGGAGATGTCTGTAGATGGAGGTAGAAGAGAGAGGAAGAGCATGGCAAACGTCTCTCCCTTTTATCATGTTCTTTCTTCCCTCTTGGCTTTGCCCCAGCCATTCATAGTCAGGTGAGCATTACCTCATTGCAGTCCCAAACTGACCAAAGGAAGGGGGGTGACTCACTTGAGAGTCCAACAGATCCTTTGTTGTTGCCTAGGTCAGTGTCCTTTGTTCCTGTGAGGCTGGGTTGGGTTTGTTCCATACATGCCCTGATGCGGTGTGAATTGCCTCTCTGCTCTTGGAGAGTTTTTGCCTGGGCTTGCTTTAAGCCATCAGGACACATTTTCAGCCTCATAACTATATACATGAAATTATAACCTATAACATTACTATAACAACGATTACTATAACATTACCATAACAACAATGCTCAGTACATCATGAGCCTTCCAAAGACACCCAACATGACAAACTTTGCATTAGATACCAGACAATCATATTATGAGGATGAACATGGGGTGTTCACACGAAGTACAGAAAGTCACACATATGCCATAGGATGCCAATCCCTGCCAGTTAAGTGAAGAATTAACATACTTGCTCAAGAGAGCAAACACCTGAAGAGCCCTGCGGTGCACCAAGATTTGGACATTGCCTTATCCAGCCCCACCCCCCATATAACTGAATACCACTGCAGTACATGTTTGCAGCCAAAGTTTTAAAGTCAAACCGCTCAACTACTGGAATTCACTAGCTAATCATGTGGAACCAGTTTTAGGTGTTAAACCAGCTTTTGTCAGCAATAACGTCTTCTGTGAGTGTAGAGAACTAAAAGTATTAATAAATCAATTTTAAAATGCAAAATGTTTTGATAAACTTTTGTGTGTTCATCCAGCATATCTAATGTAGTTTTGTTAAATGAATAAACGGTTTTAAAATTCCAGGTGCCATCTAAATGCAGTGCAAAATAAGTCATGATTAAAAAAGTAGTAAATAAATGCATAATTCATCACTTCAACATAAAATTAAGAATCTGAATATGTGCAGATATATAGTGTATCTTCCTGGTCTGTGAACATGTACTACCTAATTATACTACTCAATGTGCATCAGCCTCTCTTTACTAAAGATTAAGGCATACCAGTGCAAAACTCAAACCACCATGCCTGCAGGGTAGTTTGTCAAACTTGCTTTTCATGGGGGAAAAGTTTTTGGTAAGGAGCTATGCTTCCACTAAGAAAAGTGTCTAGCTCTTTAGGTTATTAAACTGGTGAATGTAAATTAGGTTTGTACACTACAGTATTTTTTTTTCCTGAAACACTGAAGAGGATCCTGGGATGTGGGAGTCACAGGTTAATAACTTCTGTTCTAGCCTATGACGAGGTGTGGAATTAGTTTTAGACACATTTATCGATTGCACAAAGCTGTGTTCATTTTCAGTTCCTGTCTTGTGGACCTTGTCTGTTGTCATCAGTTCATTCTGCTTAGAACTCTTTCAGGCTCTACTGTGAAATCTTGCATTTGGTTTAAAAAAAAGTGAATGTTTTATTAAAATTACAGTAGTCCTATGTTGAAGTATTTCTATAGAAGAGGGTCTGCTGGAAAGTGTGGAAGAGAATTAGCCTAACGCATATACCCGCATCTTTGCGAAATTCTATAAGGACAGAGCTAAATCAATGGTGTTTCCTGCAGTTTAGTTAAGGATACACCTTGATCTCTCCAGTGACTGAACATCCAGTGAGTCAAAGGTGTGCAAAAGAGGCTAGTGTGCACCAGAGGGAATATCCCCTGTAGGTTTGGGTCTCTCCCCCATGTCCCCACTAGAGAAAATTCAACAAAAATCCCATGTGCGACAAACATGAAAAGCCCCAGTAACATCTGACCTTTATTAATCTACAAACATTAAGAGATTTACAGAGATTGGATATTATAAAATCCTTTTTCTTCCGTAGACAAAGACTAAAACCCCACTACTCCATAGGAGACACATTCCTCCATCCTCAGTATTTTTTCAGGCTGTAGGGCAGGCCTAGCACAGCTTTGGCACCTGGAAAAGGTGGGGAATTCCAGACAGCAGAGCTGGTGCGCTTAAAGTATCGCGGCTTGTTCTTGTAGAAAATGTTCTCCAGCTTAGGGCTTATGATGGCCCCAAAGAGCATGGTGACATCAGGAGGGTTATAGTACTGGTGGATGACAGCTTGACTAAGCTGAGTCCCTGGAGAAGTAAGAGTGAACAGTTTATTAGACTGATTGAACTGGCCTTTAATTCCTTCAATGAAACTTAGGTGTGTTCAGACTGCTCTAGAAGCTGTACCTCCCCATCCCCCTATTGCCTCCAAGGCTGTAGATCCCTGGGGAGGAGCACCTTCGCCATGGCCCACTAGGAAATCAGAACCCTGGCATGGACTTAAGGAGCACAGAGGGTGAATGTGCTAAGCATTGAACTGTGCTTATCAAAAGGATCTGCAGTAAATTGAGGAAAGTGGAGAGGAGACTTTGCCTCTCCCTCAGCAGAACCCTACCCCTTCTCCTCAGAGAAAATTAAGGTTTCTATCTATTTAATCCTGCTCCCAAAGGGGGGTTAATAAGGTAACAGAGTGAGATAACAGAAGTGCAAGAACAGCAGCCAGCATGGAGCTCAGCTGTAGCACTCAGCCTTAAAAAGCAGCACGCAGAGGGAATGGTGGCCTGGACACTGGTATTACCCCTACAAAGGAGCACAGGGTCTTTAACAACAGTCACCAGCAAGCAGGTTTTGGCCCAAAATGTAGGTTTCAAAAACTTGCATTAAAATTCATCCTTTCGCTATGTGTTACTACCACCATAGCCAAGGCTGCTAGTTCAAAGGAAGTGATTTGTTATCTTGATGCTGTCCCAGAGAGGCTCAGTACATCTTGGCATAACATTCCATCTGCACAGCTCCAGGCTGGCATCTTTAACAGCACAAATCCTCATCTCCCTATGCCATGGGCAGAGAAAGCTACCACCAAGTCTCATCAACAATCCAAGGGACCCAGCAGGGGTTTCTGAATGGTCAGGGATAGATTTCACAGGGAGCTGGCACATACCATTGGCCCAGGCAGGGATGGGCTTGCGGGGCTGGCTCTCGTCGTCCGTAGAGTCGTCGCTGTTCAGATCCATCCCGTAATTATTGGGATTGATGGTGGGGGGTTTAGGCCCTTTTGGGCCTTGCGGGGTCATTTGATAGGAGTTACAGACAGGGGAATTCTAGAAACAGAAAGTCGATAAGCAACCTTACACTGTAAGAGCAGCACCACACTGAGCCCCAGGCACCCCTAACAGTGCATCTTGGGTGGAAGCTCAGTGATGTGTATTGAACTCATAACACCCTAAAGTGGGAGTGTTGGTACAAACAAGGTTTCATACTCCCCTCTCTAACTTAACTAAGCATCAGATTGGTCAGATAGACACACTAGCTTTCACAGATGGCTGCAGCAATTCTACACAGTAAATGGGGTTTAAATCACAGATGACTCCTCTGCTCTCAAAGTTGGGGGGGATTTTAGGGTGCAGACTATCTAAACTCAATATTCATTCTTCTCCCCCTAAAGCCTAAAGTTGAAGTCTTGTTTGATTATCTTTAACACTACACATACTTCATCACAAGCACATATGCCACATTTGTAGTACAGGATTTATATAATCCTGTAAAGACAGTTACTGGAATGTTGACCGGGACAACTTAAACTGGGGAAGGTGTCGCTAAAATGAAGGAGCCTTCATTTAACCTTGAAAAAAAAAGGTACTAACCCAGAGACAAACATTCTTGTCAATCCTTTCCTAGGATGAGGATTAAAAGCTCCTGTTTTAGTCAAAATTCTCACCCCAAGCAACTGTGAAAAGAGCATTTATTCCTGATTTAAAGCCTCAAACTTGATTAACTTTTGTGCATTTAAAGTTTGTTTAAAAAGAGCCCCACTCCAGACAAAAATATCAAGTGTGTACATCATGTGCTCATTCTAATGTTTCAGCCACAATCATTCCCCTCCAGGATCAGCCCAGGAGGGAAGCACTTTAGGAAAGTTCAGCAACTGAAGAGAGTTTTCAGTAGCAGTTTCTGGGCCACATAGTTGCAGATGCTACACTATAGGACAGGCCCCCAGCACCATCCTGTGGCTATTTCTCTTATTTAAAGCTTCACCCTCATTTGATGACATTCCTGCTCTCTGTGAGGCTCAGTCTCCTTCAAATGGAAGGATTCAGGGAAGAGTGAGAACATCAAGAGACTCCTCCCTCTCCACGTGCACTATGGGGCTGCCTGCTGAAGGTCAATGACAAACACTGATTTTTTCCTTGTAAGGCCTTTTCATTGAGAACCCCAAAGCCTTTTACAGAGGTGAGAAGGTGCTCGGGTACCATAGTCATGAGCATAGTCCACAAATCTAGCTCATCCCCATGTTAATGATGGGGGAAGAGAGATTAAATGACTTGCTCAAGGTCACATAGCAAGTCAGCGCTGGCATCAGGAACAGAAGCCAGATCCCCTGCTGTAACCACGACCAGCACCACCCCCCTAATGAAAACAAATGGAGACAGCAGGACAGCCTCATTTCTCCCTGAGTGCTGTGCTCAGGCTTGCATCTCACTGATGTTCCCCCTCACCTCCACGTCCACAGTTACATTCAGATGGTTACTGGCAGCAGCTGTGGCTTTCTTCTCTTGCTCCTGCCGTTCCAGCTCTGCTAGACGCTGCTCCTCCTGCTAAAGCAGAAATCACCAATGTGAAAGTAGTAAGATTTTAGGAGTAACCAACCCCCACGCCACCCCCCCATGGCATGGGTGGGCTGCCACCTGCTACAGGGAACAAGCACCACTGCCTGCAATGGACAGGATAGCTAGGACTCTCCCAGCGGTTAAACTCTATGACAATTTATTCCAGGAGCACCACAGCTCACCTGAGGCTGGTGGTCAAGTTGCTGCTCCTGGAGACAGCCATTGTTATAATGGCTGATGCAGCCAGATACATGTTGAGTCTCCTTACCCGTTTCTTCTCTTTTTCTTCCATCTCCTTTTGGAGCCGCTCCTTTTCTCTAGCTGCCATTAGCTCCCTCTGCAGGCGAGCCGCCTTCTCCTTCTCTTGCCGCTCACGTTCTCTGGGAACCAATGTAAGACACCAGGTCACGCTCAGAAAGAAGAAGAGTGCAGACTGCATCTCCCCCATGATGCCTATTGCACTTCCTCCTTCACCCCAGTGTCCAGGGCCTTCACCAGCTGCCCAGTGCATACCTCCCACTATGGGGCCCAGAACTTCTTCCTGGCTGCTCATCGCTCATCCCCCACTCCAGGGTTGTGCTGACAGAATATAGGGCTTTGCCAGGCCCTTTCACTGGGCCATTCAGCCCCCTGCTCTTCTCTGCAAGGTCACAGCGGAAGCTTCAGTACATGGAGGGTCATTTTTCACCTCTCTGCCTGAATCCTCTCCTGTTCCTTCTTCTTCTCAAGCTCTCTCTCTGCTGCCAGCTGCTTCTCCCTCTCTTGTTCCGCCTGTCTCTGCTCTGCAATTTTCTTCGCTCGCTCTTGCTCTTCTTCCTCCCTCTTCTTCTGCATTCGCTCCTTGTGTCGGCGCTCCTCCTCCTCCTGACAAGCAAAAGGAAGTAGTTACCTCCACCTCGCAAGGGAAGAGGGGGATATGCAGAAAAGCACGAGGGTCAGCCTGCCTGATGCCTTTCCGCAGCTCATCACTACAGCATTGTCATGAAGGACTCTGAAATGCGATGGACTGAAGTTTTTAGTGTAGTTTCTGCTTCCCTTTCGGGATGCACAATCACTTGCTCAGCTCTTCCCATCCCACAGGCACCAGAGAGTGGTATCCCTACTAGGTCTCAGCTCTGCCACCCTGAATGTAGATGGCCCTCAGCCCCAGGATCACAGTGGTTCCTGAGTTCTGGTCCTCTGTTAATTGCAGTTGAGATTCTTTATAGATTACCGGATGTCTGAGATCTCCCCATCTACATCCTGCCTAGCCCCAGGAACTGGGGAAGATGGATTAACAAGCACTGACCTCCCCAAAACACTGACTTTTGAGGATGCGGAGAGGAATGAAGCAGCTCATGGATCATGTGGAAGAAATGGTTAGACACTCATGAAAAGCACAGAAACTGGTCTGTAGTGAAGGGAAGGATGGGGTGGCAACAAGGAGTCCCAAAGGGACCCAAGGGACTTTGGGGGATAGAAGACTGTACTTCTCCCTCCCGTAAGCTAATTGTCCCTCAGCTGCTCACTGTATAGTCCTGCCCTCCTCCCCATGTACAGGGACTGTGGCAGATCAGTGTTACTCTGGCTTCTCCCCTGCCGTGTGTCGGGCAGAGTGCAGCACTGTCATCACACCCATTCCCCCAGCCCAAACCCTTCCTTCCTGCAATACAGGACCCCAGCACAGCTCACCAGCTGCAGCGCTTTCTGTTTTCGGGCCTCCTCTTCTTGTCTGCGCCGGGCCTCAACATCTCCCATCTTCTTGGCAGCTACCTTCTTCTTTACCTTTTCCTCTGCCAGCCTCTCCTCCCGCACCTGAGACAGTCACACACACATCGGGTCTGGACCTTGCTGTTGCACATGGGACAACTCCCCTATATGTATTATGTCCTCTCTGATACATCAAGGTCATCAGGGAAATCTCTCCCCAAAGGGTAAAAGATGCCCTTCCCTGTACCAGAGAGTCTAGAGGCCCAGTGGGGTCTGTGCATATTTCTTGGAGCATAAGCTCTTTGGGGCAATGACCTTGTCTTCCCCTGGGTTTGCTCAATGGGATTCCGATCCCAATTGGAGCTTCTGGGTGCTACCTTATCTTAAAGGCAGGCAGCACCCAGTGCAGCGAGTCCAGCAGCACCTGGGATAGTTCACGTGAGAAGCTCTTCAGAACACACAGAGCATATCTGAAATAGAATGAGTGTCACTTAGCAGAGACTCTGGCAGCTGCAGGGCAAACCAAAGGCCAAGAGTAAGCCAGTTTCCATCTGGTTCAAATTAAGCATTTCCCAAGAGGAAACATGGCCCACGGTGGAAAAGGGGACAGAGGAGAGCGGGCTCCACAGACAAGGCTGCTCTGGCTCTTCATACCTATCTGAAATACCTTCATACCCTGCCCTATTTGTAAAAGCCCAAGACCCTCAGATACAGGAGGCTTACAGGGGAGATGGTTTATTTGGCACATTCTTTGGCTATTAACCAGACCGGGTACTAACTGACAATGGAGTCTTTGCTGACCTAAATGCACCTCCCCCCACGTTCTCCCTCATCATTCCTGCCAACAGAGACACCCATCAGAATTAGCTATAATCCCAAAACACAGCAGCAACTCAAACCCCCTTAGCCCCAAGGTTCAAGTCAGACCTTTAATGAAAGATTTCCCCATTGGTTCCCTGGGTCTTAGCAATGTCAGTCCCCTTTGCCCCTATACAAGAGAGGTCATGACCCAAAGTGAGGGGACCCCTCCACCCTACCCACTCCCATAAGAAAACCATTGTCCCAAGAGGCTCCATGGTCAGATTGGGCCCTCTTACCTTCTCACTCTTCTCATCAAACTGTGCAAGTTTCTGCTCAATCCGCCTTTTCTTCTCCTCCTCTAGCTGCTCCACCCGCTCCCGAGCCTGCAGCACCTTGCGCAGACGCGCTTCCCGTTTCCTGAAGGATACACAGAGAGCCAGTGAGAAGCAATTCTGAGATGAGCCAGAGATGGAGCAGCTGGAGGGACAGCTACTCACAGTTTCATCTCCTCTAGGCGCTGTCTCTTTTCCTCCTCCAGTTTTTGTTTTCTCTGTTGCTCGGCCTCCTGTTTCTTCCTCAGGCTCTCCAGCCGCTGCCGCTCCTTCTCCTGCAATGGGTGGGAAGCCCAGATTATACCCAGCTGCTGGGGCTCGTTCCTGGCACAGTCTGGATGACCAGAAACGACACACCAGGGAACTTGCAGTTGCAACCACAGCTGATGCAAACCTCCCTGGAAGGGGGCACAAAGGGCCCCAGTACCACAGTGGCTCAGCGAGGTGGCCAGCCCAGCCCTAATAACCTGTAGAAGTAGCTGCAATGGGAAAAGACAAAGCAGCAGTGCTAATTCAGCCACCCCATTTTCCAGGAGCAGGAGAGGACCTGTGGGGCAGTTCTTGTGCGTCAGAAGCATTACCCCAAGATCAGTATGTTACTGCATAGGGTGCATTTGAGCAAGCAGCACTGTCCGTGATTTCTGTGCTGCATTCACTACAGAAGTTCAACTATCACTAGCCAGTGTCAGTGCTGGACTTCAGCACGAGACAAGGGCACAAATGTGATGTCCTAGGTAATCCTCTGCTCACATTACACCTCAAGATCCCCCATTGCTCCTACTTTCCACCCAAAGGTTCAAATTGTGGCCTCCATGCTTCCTGCTGAGGCAGACTAGAATAGACTCCCAATTACAGCAGTGAGCCCCCATACCAACTGAATAAATCAACGCAGAGCACTCAGTTCCCCTCACACACATCCCACGTGACCCATGCTGAACGTGCTGCTAGTCTGGAGGGCAAGAGAACCAGCCAACCCATCAGTCCCAGACTGCCAGGGCAGCGCACTAGGTCAGTGGGTTGGCCCCACTGCAGGGAAGAAGATGGAGGAAAGTAGAATTGAGGGTGTAGGCTTGGAAAATTGATCCTTCCCAGTACTGTAATGTTAGATTCCAAATAAGAGCCCATGAAACCAAAGCAACTGCCAGGATGAGGGAAATGGAGGCCACTAGCGAGGCCGTCCCTAGGGGGGTGTGGGGCCTGGGACAAATCAGCCTCCCCGCTAGTCTTCTCACAGCGCGCCTGCCCACCGCTCACCTCCTCACACACACCCCCCTCCGCCTACCTGTCTCCTCGCTGTCCGTCCGGCGTGCCCCTGCCTGCCCGCTGCTCACCTCCCCGCTAAGCCTCTTCACCATTCGTCCGGCGCTCTCCTCCTTGCCATCCGCCCGCCCACCTGCCTCCTCATCACCCTCCCGCCTGCTGGCCGCCCCGCTAGTCTCCTCGCCACCCGCCTCCTCCTCGCTGTCCACCCGCCCACCTGCCTCCTCGCCTCCCTGCAAGTCTCCTCACCGCCTGTCCGGCCCAACTGCCCCCGTCACTCTCCTCCTCACCGTCCACCCACCGCCTCAACCCCCTCTCACCTGCCGCTCGCCTCCCCACCCCACTCACCCCCTCACCTTAATATCAGGAAAAATGGCATCCTAATCATATATCGGTTGGGATGCGGGACAAAGGGCTAAATATCGGGACAGTCCGATTTTATCAAAGCGTGGGGCCCAGGCCGGTTGCCCTGATTCGCCCTACTCAAGGGACAGCTCTGGCCACTACTTCCACAAGTCTCTTCTCATTGTATTAATGTCACAGTCCATCCCAGGATGCTTACATAACTCCTCTGGCCCCCTCCACCCCTTATCTTAACCAAACAAAAACCTATATTGTGCCAAAACAGACCATCTGATAAAGGGAGGACTCTCTGGACAGGCAACCTGCCCTGTGGGGGCACTGTTTAGACTTGTGGAATCCTGCATCACCTTTGGCTGTGAATGGAGTGAAGCACAGAGTACCATAACCCATGCAGGGATGACAAAGCATTCACCAAGCAGGTGAGTCATAGATTCCCAAAAGGGACTATTGTGATCACAAGTCTGACTTCCTGTATAACACAGGCCAGACAATTTCCCAAAAATAATTCCTGCATCAGAAAAATGGGCAATCCACCATAACCTATGGTAAATGGTTCCAATGGTTAGTTACCCTCACTGTTAAAAGTTTACACCTTACTTCCTGTCTGAATGTGCGTATCTTCGATTTCAAGCCATTGGATCATGTTCTACCTTTCTCTGTTAGATAGGCGAACCCATTATTAAATATTAGTACCCCATAGAGGTACTTCTAGACTGTAATCAAGCCACCCTTTAACTTTCTCTTTGTTAAGTTAAATAGATTATAAATCACTGTCATGGCTTTTCTCTGAACTCCCTCCAATTTATCCTTCGCCAGAACCGGACAGTATTCCAGCAGTGGTCGCACAAGTGCCAAATACAAAGGAAAAATAATCTGTATTTTCCTACTAAAAAGTCCCTTTCATGCATCCAAGGATTGCATTAACCCTTTTGGCCAGTGTCACACTCGGAGCTCATGTTCAGCTGATTATCAGTCATAACCCCCAAATCTTTTTCAGAGCCACTGCTTTTCAGGACAGAATCCCCCAACCCTGCAAGTCTAACCTATATTCTCTGTTCCTAGATGCATATTGTTTGATAAATACTGAGTGATAAATTGTTCTCCCTAACCACTGAGGCCAGGACAAGAAACAATGGGCTTAAATTGCAGCAAGGGAGTTTCAGGCTAGACATTAGGAAAAACTTCCTAATTGAAGGGTAGTTAAGCACTGGAACAAGTTACCTAGGGAGGTTGTGGAATCTAGTTAAATACTTCCAATAATGAACAAGTTAGACAAAACCCTGTCAGGGATGGTCAGAAAATACTTAATCCTGCCTCAGTGTAGGGGACTGGACTAGATAACCTATCTAAGTCCCTTCCAATCCTTTGTTTCTATGGTTCTGTTTGCCTGCCCCCAGTTTGCCAAACAATCCAGATCACTCTATATCATCGATCTGTCCTCTTCATTATTTATCACTCCCCCAATTTTTGGGTCAGCTACAAACTTTACTAGTGATGATTTTGTGTTTTTTTTATCAGTGTCCTGAAAGAAAATGATAACTACCATAGGGCCAAGAACAAATCTCTGCAGGATCCCACTGGACACACAACCGCTCAATGATGATTGCACATTTATAATTACATTTTGAGACCTACCAGTCAGCCAGCTTTTAATCCATTTAGTGTGCCCCATGTTAATTTTATATCATTCTAGTTTTTTAATCAAAACGTCAGGTGGCACCACCATCTGTAGAGTAAGCTTGTGTGAGTCATCAGCAGTACACCAGGGAGATTAAATCCTTCACTGCTTGTGTGGAGAAGAGAAGTCCACCTTCAGAGTACAGCAGAACCTACTAACTGGTGTAGGCCCAAAGATTCCCAGCAACGCACTAGCAGCTCTGCTATCTGTTACTGGAAACGGGCTGTAGATGACAGACAGGAGTCAGTGGTCTACGTTTCTGGAAGCAAGACCTGATTTCATACAATTTAGATTTTCGTACTTTCAATTAAGTTTCAGACAATGGAACAAGAGACCATCCCAAGCAGATCTCATGTTTATTTTAAAGGCACCGTGTATTAGTGAGCATAAGCAAGAGGCATGCATCCATGGCACCCTTGCCTCTACTGGGCATTTCCGTGAACCTGATCCCTTTGTACTTTACTGATGTTCTAAACAACTGTCACTTTGGCTGGCTCCTGCTGCCCACTGAATGCTGACCTCTCTTCTCACTATTGTAAAGCAAAAATATTACGACTGTGTGCAGGTAGTGAGCAAATTAAAAAGCACCCACTGCCCGTTAGTGATGTGAGAAGTGCACTATAAGCCCAATCTATGATTAAGGAAAGTCATTACTTACGACAAATTCACCCTGTGTAAACAGAACGTGGGGAAAAACAACAGTTACTCCCTTTGGAAATCACCACATAAACCTAGAACCAGACCTTCTTGGCTCATCTAGGTGGCTACAGGGGTCTGCCTCCCGAATGCCATTGACTTGGGAGGCGGTGGCGCAGTAAGTGGCACCACATGGATGCAACTATCCATTTGCATGGAGCAGCCTGCAGAAGGACCCTAGTCCCATCCTTGCCAGTAGCTGGTTACAGTTACACTTCATTGAGACCCACCCAGGCCTTTGCAGCCACTCTGGCTCTCTCCCTCCCATCCCACTAGCAGAGGGAAAGGGCTTTACCTTGGGATCGGTTCGGAGGGGAGTGTTGTGTTTGAGGAAGGATTTCTTTTTACTACTTTGCCCCACCGAACCTGGGGTCATCAGCAGCTGGTTCTTCTGCACAGTGTGTAAAAAGGTCTTAAATGGACGCACAACCTGTGAAGAGAGCACAGAGAGTACAGGTAGCTGAAGGAGAAGGGAAGAGTCCTAGAGGAAGTATGCTGGGGCTGGGACTCTGCCTCACTTTGCTGGCTGGACAGAGTGGTGAGGGAGTCTTTTTTCTTGGAGGGGAGAGCCCGCCTTCCTCTGCTTGCTGCCCATCATACAGCTCATCCACAGCTTTCTTGTAACTTGGCTTTCTCCTGCAAGAGTTAATACATATCTATTACACAGCGACCCAACAGAGGAAATTCTTCTCCTGATCTTAGCAGCACTCATGATTCACACTGTCACAGTTCCAGGGTTAACTGCACCTCAGTCTCCTTTGTGGTCTCAAGAGCACCCCCTTGAGGACTCAGACCTCTAGTCAGCTCCTCTCTCGGGAAGGGAACATGTATGTCTCTTCCTCCAGATCAGACTTTTAGGGCTGCAGTTCCCTTGCAATCCACTATGTTTATCCCACCAGGTCTGAATTTAATTTAGCACTTACAGTTCTCTCTCAGGAATAATGACACAGTTGATCAGCGACCAGACAGCTTTCCCAAAGCATAAAATGTTTATTAGGATAAAACAGGGGAGGGCAAACTACATTTTAAGCCAGCCTGAGAGCTCCAGCTGGGGAGTAGGGTCTGGCATTGACCTGCTCCAGCCAGGGCGCCGGGTTGGGGGCCGCACCACGCGCCTTGGACCCGCTTCAGCGCTCCAGCCTGGGTGCAGAGTTGGGGGCTGCACAATGCAGCTTGGCCCCGCTCTGGCGCTCCAGCCAGGGTGCCAGGTTGGAAGCCGCTCCACGCGGCTCCTGGAAGCCACAGCAAGGCCCTGCTCCAGCTCCTATGCGCTCCAATGGGAGCTGCAGATGGGGCAGCGCCTGCAGATGGGGCAGCGCCTGCAGATGGGGCAGCGCGCGGAGCCGCCTGGCTGAGCCTCCGTGTAGGAGCTGGAGAAGGGATATGCCACTGCTTCAGGGAGCTGCTTGAGGTAAACGTTACTCAGAGCCTGCACCCCTGAGCCTCTCCCCACACCCGAACCCCATGCCCCAGCCCTGATCCCCCTCCCGCTCTTCAAACACCTTGATCCCAGCCCGGAGCACCTTCCTGCACCCCAAACCTCTCACCCCCAGCCGGAACCTGCACCCCTTCCTGCATCCCTGCCCCAGTCTTGATCTCCCTCCTGCCCTCCGATCCCCTCAGTCCCAGCCCAAAGCACCCTCCTACACTCTAAACTCCTCATCCCCAACCAGAGCCCTCACCCCTCCCGCACCCCAACCCCAATTTTGTGAGCATCCATGTCACACACTACAATTTCTATTTCCCGATGTGGCGCTCAGGTCAAAAAGTTTGCCGACCCCTGAGATAAAAGCATTAGACAGAAAACAATGAAATTAACAGTTTTTATGCATGCTAAATTACCGATCACCCACATGGGATCTGGGTAGGTCTGTCCAGAAAAGTTTGTCAGTTCTGTGTTCCAGGGTGAGTCTGTCCGAGTCAGACCAGGCTGACTCTTTATATAGTTTTGGGGGCTCTGTCTCCAGGCCTCCTGATCCAGGTTTTGGGGGGGGGGCCCCCCACGGGAATCAGTCAAGGGCCCTTCAAAGCAAATACCTAGCTAATTAGGTATTATAACACTGTGCTAGGAGGTGTGGGTTAAAACCCTTCTTCAGAGAGGCAGACAAGCTTTCATTGAAGCCATATAATGTTGAATTAAATCAGTCCAGCCATCCAGACTATTTCCCCTTCCCTCTGATGAGAATGTACCTGACACTCTGGGGTTGTTCCTGTGCCTCATCGCTCTTATCAGACTGGCTCTCTGCAGAGAAAGAGTTACAGTTAGTTCTGTCTAAAAGGTTCCCTTCAGGAGAGTCCAAAGCCAGAGTCACCAGGCCTAGCAGCTCAGCCCCCTCGGAACATTACTGGGAGCCTCTTCTGCTGTTGCCATGAACTGAATCTTCCTGCTTACGGCAGAAAGTGACTTAGCCACCTCCAAACCTCAGCACTCTGACCAATACAAAGGTGTTATCTTTATGAAACTCTGTAGGAAACAGCGCATGAACGTTGTCTGTGGTACGCACTATGCTCTGGCCTTCTGCATGTAGACCCACTGAGATAGCAGCCTGCATCAGACCATAAGAGGTTTCAGATCGTCCTTCCCTACCCATGTAAGATATAACAGTCTTCCCACTGTCTAATGGGAGAGCACATTTACCACATTTTCTGAAGGAAAAACGGTAACAAAAGAGTCCAGCACAGCCATATGTCACTTGGTTTGAGACAGGGATAGTCAATTGGCAGACTGGACCACCAAACACTTTTGAATGGACCACAACATCTTTTTATTTATTTATCATCATTATTGTTATTGCAGTGTGAAAAATGTTTCTGACTACCCCCGGTTTGAGAGATCAGACCAGTTTCTTGCACAAGGAACCTGGTCAATAGAATGTGAGACAAATTAACTAACTCTTAAAGCAGAGTCTTGCCCTTTCCTGAAGGGAAGAGAGTTACCTGTACCACTCCCCTCCTGCTGCTCTGCCTGGACAAGGTTGCCAACGGCTGTCTTGGCATTCCTAGAACGAAGGGACATCCTGGGGCTTTGGGGACCCTGCAGAAAAGGCAACGGGATTTCAGTGTGATGCCCACAGAGAGAAATAAAAGCTCAATCAGCATTTTGAAGTACTCCGTGTCCTGCTGGCACAAGGCAAAGCACTGGGAATACAACAGGTACAGACCCTTCGAGTGAAGTCCCAATCTGCAACTGTAAGAGCGAGAAAGCCCCACCCGAGTAACAAGCTGCAGCACGCTCTAGCAAACAAGTAAATAGCAGCTGTTCGCATAGAACACAAGAGTGGCCACAATATGCAGGGATTTTTTTGCTCATATTGAGCTGGCTGAACACAGACCATCTGATAACCTAGACCAGGGGTTCTCAAACTGGGGGTCGGGCCCCCGGGGGTTGCAAGGTTATGACATGGGGGGTCGCAAGCTGTCAGCCTTCACTCCAAACCCTGCTTTACCTCCTGCATTTATAATGGTGTTAAATATATTTAGAAGTGTTTTTCATTTATAAGGGGGGGGTCGCACTCAGAGGCTTGCCACGTGGAAGGGGTCACCAGTACAAAAGTTTGAGAACCAATGACCTACACAGTCAAGGCTGGATAATTGTGCTGGTTGCAGCCTTTTCTCCCAGGCAATGGCAGATCACCATTCCACTTGGCGACTGTGTGCCTGTTACTTCAGACACCTAATTCCATGCTAAAAGATTGGAGGAACATAGGAGATCTCTATTTTATTAATATGATGTGTGCCTCTATTTGATTAATATCTTGCTGTTGTTACATGAGTGTGTGTCACAGGGTGGACTGGGCCCTTTAAGAGGGAACTGGGTCAGTGCCTCATTAACAGGCTCACAATGGAGCCTGACAGAGGGCAGCTGGTATCTATAAAGAGCCAGCAAGGAAACTGCAGAGTGTTAGCAGGCTCCTGCAGGAGAGTTTGAGACACCAGGGAACAAGACTCTAGCCAGGTAGAGCTGGGAGCAGCCTGCTAAAAGCAGGGAATTGAGTTGGCCTGGTAATTCTGTGAGCATCCAGTGGATAAGGGACTGCTTGGAGGAGTCTGGGATTATTATGTGCCTATAGCAAACCTGTACATAGAGAGTGAGCCCTGGAAGATAGTCCTTATGCTGCCAGAGGCTGCTTGTTTCACGGAACTGATCCACAGCAGGCACAGATGAGACTTTCTCAGACTAAACTAAGCAGAGGTGGTGGTGAGGTGACTCACAACCCTGGATAGCTCTGGGAAGTGTCCCAGGGAGGCAGGGTCTGCAGAGAAACAGACTAACCTGGTTCTCAGAAGAGCAGGGGCATGAGAGAGAAGTCAGACCTCCTTAACAGTTAGCATTTCCCTCAGGCTTTAGGTAAGACAATATGCCTGTAGGATTTTGTTGTTGTTGTTTTAACCCTTCTGATCCCCATGGCAATTGGAGAAAAATACTTTGCTTGGGAGAGGCTGTTGAGAGTCACTACATTTTCAAGCTGATCCCAGGGCCCCAAAGGAAAGTCTCTGACAGGCGCCAAACACTGTTGGTAAACAGGGATGCTGTGACCCCATGATCCAGTCTAAAAATGGGGTGAATCACAGGATTCTACCCTGAGAGAAGAGCTGGTGCTGGGCCAGGGATTTAAGGAATTGAGGACAGCTGGGGAAAGAGCAAGTGATTCTGAAACAAGTGCTCACACAATCTTGGGGCTTTTCCTCATGAGACCAACTGAAGGGAGCACAAATCAGTGAGGGGGTGGTTTCAGCCTACATGGTAGTTACAATATTCAGTAATTCTCTAATATGCAGAAATGGACAGGCCCTTCCATTAGACCTAAATATTATTTAAAGGTCAACAGGAAAGTTCTCAAAGTTGCATTCAGTTTAAGTTCCCAATTTAGTAACAGTGTATAGACTGAACAACAGTTCAGTCAAAACACTTTCCACTATCACGAAAAGTCATTTGTTTTCCCACCAAGTTTCTGATCACCATCAGCACATAAAACTGAACCAGGAAACAGGAGCCAAAAGTATATCTCCCACCCCAAATCCTTGCTGTGCTCTGGAACAGTGATGCCATCAACTTGCCCAGGACAAGTTGAACTAAGGAGGTGTTGGACAAAAAATATCTTTTCATAGCTCTCCCCCACTATTTACGCTGCATCAGCCCTACCCGGATCTTACCTCCTTACAGGGGATGGTAGATCCCAGCTCAGACCTGGAAGAAAGAGTTAGATGCTTAGTGGCAAAAACAGTATCAGCTCAGAGCTGTCTGCGGGCAATAATACATTTTATGCCAGGATAACCATTGAAGAAAGGTATCCTCCAACAGTGAAATTCAATGCATTTATTTTGCACCCTTCACCCATCACTTGCATTCTGCACAATAACTCCACCCCAAACAGACATTGCTTTTAAAAATAAATGACCACAGAAATCTTTCCTTTCCCAAACTCTGGAAGAATGAACCAGGTAAGAGCACAAATGAAGGAGTTACTCAATGCTCTGGAGCAGGGGTTCTCAACCTTTTTGTTGCTGAAGCCCCTCTCAACATGCTATAAAAACACCAGGGCCCTGTAGGGGGGTGGGGGCAGACAAACGGACATACAACTCATGGCTGGGACCCTTGGGCATAGGCATAGTTTTACTTGGGGGTGGGGGGTCAAGAGCAGGCAGGGCTTGAGCCAGCTCTGCACAGCGAGGTCCAGGGAGGGAGCGCCACCTCCACCCCCTAACTCACTTAGGAACCTGTCTGGGCTGTGCGGGGACACAACCAAAAATATAACTCAAAGCGGGGACTCAGTTCAAAAAGTTTGAAAACCACTCAGGGTGCAGAGAGGGGGTAGCTAGGGGCTGTGTGAAGTGAAGGGGTAGCTCAGGGTGCAGGGAGGGGATACCTAGGGGCTGTGTGCAGGCAGGGGAGTAGCTTGGTACAAGCAGGGGCTAGCTAGGGGCTATGTATGGGGGGGGGGTGCTACGGCTCCCAGTGTGGCTCCCAACTTTGGGAAGGGGGGCACTGGGGCTCCCAGCTTCAGCCCCCCGCTGCTCCTGGCTTGGCAGGGTGGGGAGGGGAGGAGGAGGTTGGGCTTGGGGCATTGGGTTTCAGCCGCGGGACTCCGTGGCCCGCCTGAATGGGCTCGCGGACCTCAGGTTGAGAACCACTGCTCTGGAGAATCAGATATTTCTTCCTCTAGAGCAGAGATAATCAATTATTTTTGTCAAGGTCCAAATTCCTTGGTCAAGGCATAGTCAAGGTCCAGATTCCAGTGAAAATACAAAAACAATGATAATAAAATAAAATAAAAAATAATAATAATAAGTGAATAAAAAGATTTCACGGTCCATTCAAAAGCATCTGGCGGTCTGGATTTGGCCTGCCGTCCGCCTATTGACTACCCCTACTCTACAGCCTCCACAGGGTAAGGAATCCTAGCATTTTAGCCAGATGGGTCTGACAGGTGCCCTGATGCAGAGGACTGATCTGACTGGCCTGAATCTGAAGAGGCCCCTATCCTTCTTGGGATCTTAAAATCCACAGAAGCCAAATGCAATAGGGGGATCCTTTGTCAGGGCACCTTTCTTGCCACCCACCCTCCTGTAACTGAGAGCTGCTTTTCTCAGCTGTGGTCAGACTTTGGGACTTTAGCTGGCAGAACCCATTTTATTAGTTCCTTATGGAGCACCTTTGCTAGAGAATGAACCCTTTTAGCCTGGGATTCTTCATCAGGCTTCAGCTCTAACACAGGCTTAGAGATCACCCTCCCTGTGTCGAGGCTCCCTTTCAGAACAGGATCTCCCAGAACCTCTTGGAGGAGCAGGCTCTGGAGCAGAGTGTTATAGTTCTTTTGGGCCCTTTTAGAGAAGGCTTTACAAACATCACAGCCTTTAGCCAAATGCCTTTCTCCAATGCCTAAAAGGCACTTTTCAAGCCCATCTGAAACCGAGGAACACTGTGGAGCAAGAGGAACATCTTGTCAACCCTAATTTCTTACATGGGTTTGCAACCTTGGCCAAAACAGAAGGCAACAAAATGTGATGAAATGGTAAGAAATCCACTACATTAAAATTTAGATTTCATATCAGGTAGCTTAACTATTTACACTAGACTCTACAAGCTCAAACTTGAGAGAAAAGCCTGGTTCTGTAGTCGCTCTGGCCACTTGAGCAGCTCCTCAGGATGTGGCCTGGATAGCTGGATGGGCCTCAAGAATATTTGGGGAATGGAGAAATCTTGCATGAGTAGCCTTACCTGACTTTGACGTTTTTTTCTTCATCCATAAGGCTCTCCACAGAGCTGTGACCTGAGGGAAAAAAGAGAGGGTGAAAAACAAAATGTAAATAAACAAATCCCAGCAAAGATTATTTCTGTCAATCAAGCTCAGAACCTGGGATCTGCACATCTATCAGGCAAGGGTATTTTGAGAAGGTTCCTGCTACAAGACAAATTGCTTTACAAATGGGCTGAACTAATTCTGGAAGTACAATGAGACTGGCTTCCCTTATTGCCCCAGAAATGGATACACTCCCGATATCACTCAGATTTAAATAGCAGACTCTCCTCAATCAAGACAACAGCCTGATTTATACATAGGTCTATGAGTAAACAACTGAACAAAAACTTTTGCGCGCCCCAGCAACTGATGTATTTATTTTTGTTGTGATTGTGAAGCGCTGTGATGAGCATTCAATACTTGCTGACAGTTATATATCTGAATCAGATTCCCATAGTGCAGTTCTCTCTCTAGAATAGTACAAGCAATGTACATGAAGATAGATTGGCTCAGCAAAGCAAGATCTAGCTGTTACCAACCTCCCATGCCCACATTGTGTATTTATATCAAAGTGTTTAGATTTGGACTCTTCCATTCATTGTGGAAGGCCCTGTCCAACCTACATGGATTGTTAAGCCATTTTACAGATGCATTAAGAGCATTAACCCCTGCAAGAGACTTACTCACGGTTTACTCTACCAAAGGCCAAATTGTCAGCAACAGATTCCAATTTATGACAACTGTTTAAGTCGGGGTGGGCAAACTACAGCCCGCGGGCCGAATCCGGCCCACAAGCCATTTTAATCCAGCCCTCAAGCACCCGCTGGGGAGCGGCGTCTCGGGCTTGCCTGGCACTCCAGCCAGGGTACAGGGTTGGAGCCCGCTTCACACGGCTCCCAGAAGCAGCAGCATGGCCCCTCTCCAGCTCCTATGCATGGGGGTAGCCAGGGGGCTCCGCTCTGCAAGCTGCTCCCACCCCAAGTGCCACCCCCGCAGCTCACATTGGCCAGGAACCGCAGCCAACGGGAGCTGCATGGGCAGTGCCTGCGGATGGGGCAGCATGCAGAGCCACCTGGCCATGCCTCCGCATAGGAGCGGAAAAGGGACATGCTGCTGCTTCTGGGAACCGCTTGAGGTTAAGCGCCGCTCAGAGCCTGCATCTCTGAGCCTCACCTCAACACCCTGTTTCAGCCCTGATCCCCCTCCTGCCTCCAAACCCCTCGGTCCCAGCCCAGAGCCCCCTCATACACCCCAAACTTCTCATCCCCAGCCTCACCCCAGAGCCCACACCCCCAGCCGGAGCCCTCACCCCCCTCCAGCCTGAAGCCCCCTTCCGCACCCCAAACTCCTCATTTCTGGCTCCAACCCAGAGCTCACCCCCTGAACCAGAGCCCTCACCCCCTCCCGCACCCCAATCCCAACTTTGTGAGCATTCAGGGCCCGCCATACAATTTCTATTCCCAGATGTGGCCCTTGGGCCAAAAAGTTTGCCCACCCCTGGTTTAAGTGCTAGCATAAACTGGACAAAACTGTTTTCAAAACTGGCTCATGGGGATCCATGCTGAGAATATTGTCAGCACTGCTTCCATCTCCTTGTCTACAAAGTGCTTTGGGCAGAGTCTGTGCTGCAGAAATTTATACAGAATTCCCCAGATTCGGCTGAGCCGTTGTCAGGACACATGAGAACCACAGTGTAGACAAGGCCATAGCCTCTAGCATGATTCTAAAGACATGGTTTAATTGAAACAATTTAGCAGTTGTGTTAATGGTGCATGTTAAACTGTTTGTGAAAGCGCTTCTGTTTGTGCTACAGATCTATCTTCAAGAGTCATGGAAGTCCTCAGCTAGAAAACATAGATCAGTGGCTCCCAAACGGAGGGCCATCAGCTGTGACCCCTGTGCGGAGGACGCCATTTTGCTTCACACAGTGTGTTCTCGCACGCATGTTGCATGCGAGGTCATGATGCACAAGGGACACCATTTTGCACTACAAAACTGCATCCACCATGCTCTCTGGGATCCCCACAGGAAGTACTTCATTAAAATAGGGTTGTGATGGCAAAAAGTTTGGGAACCCCCTGAGGTAGAACAATAGAACTGAAAGAATGTTAGTGTAGCAACGTTCTTTCTTAGGGTTGGGTATTTGACCAGCTGAAAAATAATTGGTCAATTGACCAGTCTAATATTGTCAAATAATGTCAAAATATTCATATTTTAAAGCACTAATTTATTAGAACAGTAACTAAAGAGTAAGGACTTTAGTCTCCAACAAGCTTATAGCCTTAGATAGTTACACCTAATTACAGTTTTTTTTCTCCTGCTGATAATAGCCCACCTTAATCGACTGGTTACAGCTGGTATGGCAATCCCCATTTTTTCATGTTCTCTGTATATATATCTATATCTGTCTTCCTGCTGTATTTTCCACTACATGCATCTGATGAAGTAGGCTTTCGCCCACGAAAGCTTATGCTCAAATAAATTTGTTAATCTCTAAGCTGCCACAAGTACTCCTCGTTCTTTCTACAAAAAACAAGTTACTTAACTGAGTTGTTTTAACTCAAAAATGAAAAACACAATGAAGTGAAGTTATAAAAAGCGCAAGAATGGCACTGTGATGCAATCAAAAAAGGAGGTCAGCACCTAAATCAGAGCATTCTTGCTGGAATATCTGGCAATATTTGATCATGGTCAAATAACAGGCTGTAAACTGACAAGCCTGCCAAATCTATTCTTCCTATTTTCCACAATTAGTCTCATCACACAGCTTATTTCCAACCTTCTTTAGATGCAAGGGAAAGACTGTGGTGTTTACACTTCAAAAGTCTCTTACTCATTCATCTGGTGTTTACTTTTTGCATTTCACTCAGCTCCATAACAGAGGGAGATCTGTTTGAGCCAGAAAGTGAAACTCTTGCACTAAAACAATGTTTGCTTCTCAGCAAAACAAAAAAGGGATCTTTAAAATCCAATCATTCCCCACAAACATCAGTTCCCATTGCAAGTTATAAATAAATAAATAAATAAATAAATAGAGTACATTTCTAGTCATACTAGGTCTTGAAAACCCCAGCCCCTCCTTGCCCTCCCAGAAAATGGGGGCTCCAAAACCACCAGCCAGTTTCTGTTTAAGTCACTGGGTCACAAAAATTGCTACTTTGTTTCCAAGGGAAAGGCGCAGGCCTTGATGAGAGCCCACACCACCCCTTGGTCAGCTACTGGCAGCACCAGTTTAAAAAGGGGAATCATGTCCACTGGCTTTTTCTGCAACTTTACAATGGCAAGAGACTCAAGAGGAACAGATACCAGGACTACGGCTTCATAAATCACACTCTCACCATCTACACCAGGGGTGGGCAATAATTTTGCAGGGGGGTCACTCCACGAATTCTGGTAAGTCATCATGGGCCACACATTTCTACTATATTAATGGAAGGGTGCGGGGTCTAGGAGGGAGTTTGGGTACAGGATGGGGTTCTGACCTGGTGCAGATTGTTGGGGTGCAGGAGGGGGGTGTGGGCTCTGGGAGGGAGTTTGGTGCAGGACGGGGCTCCAGACTAGGGACTGGGGTGTAGGAGGGAGCGCAGGGTCTGGGAGGGAGTTTGGATACAGGAGGGGGTTCAGACCTGGGGCAGAGGGTTGGGGTGCGGGAGGGGGTGTGAGGTACAGACTCTGGCTGGGAGGTGCTTACCACAGGTGGCTCCCAGCAGCACAGCAGGTCTCAGGCAGGCTGCCTGCCTGCTGTAGCCCTACGCCGCTCCCAGAGGCGGCTGTGGCCGGCTGCTGCTGGGAGGTCTCTGTGCACCCCTTGAGGGAAGGGGGGAAGCAGGTCTCTGTGCACTGCCCTCGCCCGCAAGCACTGGTCCCACAGCTCCCATTGGCTGGTTTCCAGCCAATGGGAGCTGTGAGGACAGTGCCTGGGGGTGGAATGGAGGGGGGTGGCACACGGAGCCGCCTCACCCCCGCCAGGGGTGTGCAGACACGTGCCAGCAGCAGCCGGCCGCTTCCGGGAGCGGCTTGGGGCCATAGAAGGCAGGCAGCCTGCCTGAGTGCCCCGCTGCACTGTGGGACTTTTAGCGGCCCGGACTCAAAGATCGCGAGGAGGCAGAGGAGGCTGAACAGAAATATTAGTCATGGCAGGTTGGACAGAAATGTCAGACTGGCCGGATCCGGCCCGCAGGCCGTATTTTGCCCACCCCGATCTACACGGATACTGACTATTTAGGTGACCAGTTACTGGCTAGAAGTGCTGGCTTTTGTGAAGTTAACACTGCACTATAGGTGTCACACTCAGCTGAGTCTCTCTAGAACTTGTGCTTATTTTTAGCAAGCCAGTTTAAACACACTGACATTTAACTGAAATGTATCTAGCCCAAGGATAGTTCTTCAATGTGGATGCAGCAGGTAACTCCATACTGGCAAAGAGTCCTGTGGCACCTTATAGACTAACAGATGTATTGGAGCATAAGCTTTCGTGGGTGAATACCCACTTTGTCGGATGCATCCGAAGAAGTGGGTATTCACCCACGAAAGCTTATGCTCCAATATGTCTGTTAGTCTATAAGGTGCCACAGGACTCTTCGCCGCTTTTACAGATCCAGACTAACACGGCTACCCCTCTGATACTTAATTCCATACTATAGCTTTCCAATGCTGAAAAAAAACAGGCAGAGTGCCTGGGAATGGATTAAAGCAAAATTGCCTTGTAAACCTGAGAAACTTACGGATCACGCAGTTGGAGGCTAGAGATGATTGACGAGCTGCAATTCTCTTGGACCTCGTCCTGCTGACAGACTTCCGGATCATGCTTTCCCTTTTGCTGGCCAGTGAGTACTTCTCTGCCAATGAGGTACGGCAGCTCATGGAGGATCTGCACATCAGACTTCGACGAACAGAGTGACGGCTTGATTTGGAGCCTGTAGGGGTCCCCGTGCCATCCTTTAAATCCTGGAAAAGTTCCTTTACTGAGCCTTGGTTATCTTCCATCTCCTCAGCGGCAGGCTCCCTATTTACAGTGGCTTTCCTAGTGGCTGTATTTGCTATTTTTAATTTAGATGCACTCCGGCCTTCTCTTTCCCCTTTTGGCTTAGTAGTTTCAGGAATCAACAGCACAGAGACTGCAGACATAGGCTGCAGTTCTACCGTCCCAGCTTTCTTGGGAGAGTCATCATCTGAGCTCAGGACAATGACTTTGGAGACCTTGGCCTCTGTCTTGGGCAGACTTCTCTTCAGATGTAACTCAGCACTATTGCGATCATTGACACTGATATCTACTAAGGGGACCCTTCCTTCCACTGGCTGGATAGCTGACTTCTCAGGAAGTGCCACAGAGCGCATATCAGATACCACAGCCCGAGATCTTGTCACCCTTCGAGGCGGGGAGGCCTCTTCCACCACAGCCCTTATTATTTCCAGGTCCTCTTTGCTTCGGAGTCTTCTGGAACATCGCTTAGCAGATGCTCGCTTAATACTCCTCCTTGATAACCTAATAACAGAAACAGTGAAGCAAATTGGAGCCACATAAAAGCCAACATTTCATTTACAGGCTAGAATTGGAGATGGCCGTTTTCTTTTTATCAAAAAGCACCTTTCTGTGGATGATTCCATTATTCTTTACTACCTAAGCATTTACAGAAAAGTTGATCTTGTTGTATACACATCCGTGTGTTGGTGATGATGTGTGGTTTGGGGCACTTACAAGACAAAATTGAGATGATCTAGAGAAAAGCAACAAATTAACAGAAAGAGGTGGGTGGGTGTGACAGTCTGTACCCCTATGTGCACCCCTTTTACAAGACTAGGATAAAAGTTGTACAAAGTATACCTTGAGGTATCATTTGAAAACTCATGATTTGCTGATCATTGCTGTCCTGTTGCACACATTTCAACAACACTACATGTAAAATTATGAGATTTTGCTGTATGATGGTTACTAAAATAGGCTGTAATTCTGGGTAACACCCACAAGCCAATTTCTCAGACACAAAGATACCATGCCAGCAAGGTGTTAAAGAGTCATTACCTACTTACCTAAGAATGGCCATACTGGGTCAGACCAAAGGTCCATCTAGCCCAGTATCCTGTCTTCCCACAGTGCTTCAGAGGAAGTGAACAGAACAGGTAATCATCAAGTGATCCATCCCCTGTTGCCCATTCCCAGCTTCTGACAAACCAAAGACTAGGGACACCATCCCTGCCCATCTTAGCTAATAGCCATTGATTAACCTATCCTCCATATATACTCCATACTTAATTGGACATTCACCAGCCCAGGGTGGGGCGTGGGGGGTGTACAAAGTATGTACAATTCACCTGAAGGATAGTTGGCAGCTCACATACCCAATGGAACTGCCTGACCCCATGACCCAGCAAAGACTCTTCCAGAACAAAGGATTGGAGTATAAGGGTGGGGGGGAGGAGGAGGGAAGAGAAGGCCTCCTCTCCTCTCCACATTACATCTCTCTGCTGATAACATCAACGAATACCTGAAGAACACTGAACTAAGGGGACTGGTCCCAAGCTGAAAGAAAAGCCAGCCTGTGAACTGCAAACTATGAAAAGACAGTTACCTGTTCCGTAACTGATGTTTGAGATGTGTTGCTCATGTCCATTCCATATTAGGTGTGTGTTCTCACCACATGCACTGGTGCCGGAAGTTTTCCCCTCAGTGGTATCTGTAGGGGACTAGCTCTGGTGCCCCCTGGAGTGGCACACGTATGCCACAGCATAAGGGGCACCACTGGCTACCTCCACCCTCAGGATGCTCCCAGCTGGCCTGTCATTTCTCGTTCATTAATGGCTGCAGCTACCAGAGAGCTTGGGGCCAAGTGTACAAGTATTCATGACACTTCACCAGCACATAGTATTTTCTCTCTGCCCTTCTTGAAATAGGGGGGCAGGGATGAGGGGGACTGCCAAAAGGCGTTGTTAATTTTAGATTCCCCCTCGTGTAGGGACAGCGCCACCCTAGCCGGTACGTAAAGCAGGGGACGTCAAACAAGGAGTCCTTGTTTCCTCCAGCTCCTCAGCATGGATCCCCAAGCTGTAGGCGACGCATTTCAATAGTTCCTGATGTGCCTTAGCATCATCTTATGGAACCGTGTGTGTGTGTGTGTGTGTGAAATCGCCTCATTAGGGGATGAGGCCGGTACTGCGGGCTCCGCCACCTCTGGTGGTGGTCCTAGTGGCCGTTCCTCGGGGTTCAGGTGGACCTGAGTGGTTCCCCCTCCTGGGATGACTGTCTCTGAAGGGGGGCGAGACACCGTAGCCGACGGCTTGCCCAAGGCCCCTGTCACCGATCGGGGCACTTGTGATGGGGAGCGGTGCCGCACAGATGGGGACTTGCGGAATAGTCCCAAGGCGGATTTATCCCCGGATCGTGGTACCTTGTTGCTGGTGTGGGCGGCACTGGTAGCACCACGATATCCTGTGCTGCCTGCAGGGCCTCAGGTGTTGTAAGGACATCCAGTTGTCTGAGGCGCATATCATTGTCCGGTGAGGCAGGCATGGCTCGGGAAGGGCTAGTCCATTCTCTCTGAGTTGGGGCCCCACCCACAGGAGGAGGATCGGAGCCACCCACCTTGGATCTTGGCTCACCTCCCGCCCTCTCCTTGCCTTTGTGAGAAATAGGAGATCTTCCTCTCCTGGTCTTCTGTCACTTGACAGGTGAGGGGTGGGGGGCGCTCCACACGGATGACAGTGCTGGGAGCAGAATTGGACCTTAGCTGCTCCGGTGCCGGAGTTAGCCCAGACTCCATTAGGAGTGCTTTGAGACGGATGTCTCACTCCTTCGTCCAAGGTTTGAAGGCCTTACAAATTTGTCGGTTATGTGGGACTCGCCCAGGCACCTCAGACAAGTGCTATGCGGAGCACAGGTTTTCTGCAGGAATTGCGGGGTTTGTAGCCTGGGAACCGGGGCATGCCCCAACCCCCGGCGGAGTCCCGTATGGGACTAACTTTTATCTTACACTAAGGGTTTTCTAAAACTATTCGTGACTATTTACAACTTTTTTTTGTTAAAGAAAAGTTCATTAACTACTGAGCAAGCAAGAAAGCTAGCCTAAGCAGCAGATGTTCTAGCACCATCACTGGTGGCAAGAAGGAACTGAGGGTGGAGGGAGCCAGCGGCACCCCTTATACAACAGCATGTGTGCGTCCCCTACAGATACCACAGAGGGGAAAAACTTCAGGGAACAAGGGCATGTGGCAAGCACACACACCTAATATGGAACGGACATGAGCAAGCACTCGAAGGACTGAGAATTGCCTGCATTATCTGGTGTGGTAAGAACGATGTTTGTTTCCAATCTTATTTAGCTTGGTAAAGTTTAGGAATTAGCTTGCGGTTTTATCTTTCTATTTCTTTTGTAACCAATTCTGACTTTTGTGCCTTACCACTTAAAATCTGTTTCTCTAGTTAATAAACGTGTTTTATCTAAACTTGCGTGTTTGGAAAAACTCCACTTGGGATATCAAGGCTTGTGCAGATCATTTTCTATTAATAAATGACAGACTCAATATGAGCTTGTATTGTCCAGGAGAGTGCTTGACAGTGCAAGATGCATATTTTTGGGGCAAAGTCTGGGACTGGAGAGTTTGCTGGTGTTGCTCTGCAGTGTAATTCATGATTGGCTGACTATAGCACTCATGCAGTGTAACTGGGAGTAATTTACATGCTGGACACTGTGTGAGAGCAGACCAGGAGCAATTGTTCTCACAGCGAAGCAGTGTAAAAGGCACCCCAGCTTGGAGAACTGAGTGGACACAGCTTTTCAGCAAGTCAAATGTAGGCTGAACCATCGGAAAAGTGGATATTTTGTAAGACAGTCTATCAGATTCATGACGTGTCTCCAACTCTGTCCTGAGGTAGTCACAACTGATTCTAGGTGGGTAGCGAGCAATGTGAGTAAGGGAATTAATGAAACAAGATCCTATTTTCACACAAGTTCTCATGCAATAGTTAAGACTGGCTGCTTGGCACGGATTCTGAGATTTTTGTAATTGAAAAAGTCACAGAATCTTAGATGCCCTTTGCGCAACTCCTTGAGCAGTCTGACAAGCACTGCTATGTCGCAGAACACTAGCAGTGCATGTATAGTTTGTTTAGGGCTGCTATAGTTAGAGAATATTAATAAGTGTGCATGCAGAACATTTACTGTGCAGTTCAATATTGTACTTTAAAGCAGCGTTTCTCAAATGTGGCCACGAGGGGTTTTTCCTGAGGCCATGACAGTCTCCTGGCCAGAGATGGAGGAGGGGGCAAAGCAGCAGCCCCTCCCTGCAGCACCAAGGGCCTCAGGGGAGGTCTTCAGCCCCACCACATCTTCAGCTGCAGGACTCTAGGGCTGGGCTTCACCCCCCCGTCCCCTGATTCAGCCAGAGGCTCCGGGCGTGGGCTTCAGCTCCACTGCCTCAGCTTCAGCCAGGGGACTCCAGAAGCAGGCTTCACCCTCCCTCCCCTCACCCTCATCCTCAGCTTCAGCTGCAAGACTCCAGGAGCAGCCTTCACCCTTTCCCCTCCAGCTTCAGCCGCAGGACTCTGGGGATGGGCTTCACCTCCTCCCCCACCCCCATGGCTTCAGCCTTAGGGCTCTGTCAGCAAGCTCTGGGATTCAGCCCCTCCCTCCCCACTCTTGCCATGGGGCTCCTGCTCTGGGCTTCAGCCCAGGGTGGCAGGGCTTCAGGATGACCAGCCTTACCGGATGTCATGGGCAAGGAGCAGGGTGAGCCTGGGGTGCGAGGCTGCAGAAGTGAGCTTATGGCAATGCGGGGCAGGGGAAGCAGTAGGACCCGGCGGGGGGGCGCTGGGGGCCAAGGTGATGGGTGGGTGGCTGAGGGAGGCAGAAGGGACAATTTTTTTTTTAATGCACAATCTCCAATATCCCAAATCAGGAGAGTCTACTTTAACATCTGCAGATACAGCCCTTCTCACCTTTTCCGGATTGGGTCTTTGTTCTCATCCTGAACACTCGAAAGTCGCCTCTTTGGACGATTTTTCTGTGATGGTGTTTTTGGCATCAGCTCTGGCTCATCGCTGCAGCTGCTGTTTTAACAACAAGATGGCAAGGAAGGGAAATCAGCATCCCCAGGGCAAGAAGGTACTTGTACCCGGGCACATCCGTCATGGCAAGACTCCAGCTGGCAAACAGACAAAGGGGATGTCCACAAAGTCTTGCCTCTACCAGGTGAGGAGCAGGGTCCATGCCCAACAGGATACTACAGGTCACGAACAGGCTTGGCTCCAGCCAGTCACAGAGCCAACCACTAGGCACCGGCTACGCAGCGGAGCCCGTTAGGGGAGTTCTCGGTCCGTCTCGGGGGGGGAAAGGGGGTCTCTGTATGTCTAGATCCATGGGCGGAGGGTGGGCGGGAGAGGAGGGTCTCCGCATTTGTGTATCTGTCTCTATCTGCGGGTGTGCGCCTGTCTCTGTGGCGGGTGGGGATCCTCAATCCGTCGGTGGGGCGTGCGCACATGTTCGTCGATCTCTACTTGGGGAGAGTAGGGGGCTGCCCCCATCCCCACTGCCTGGCTGGCGGGGTGCAGGGAAAGGCTGGGCAGCCGGGGAAAGCGGACAGCGCTGCCAGTGTTCACCACCCCGGGGCGCTCCACTGCCCCCGGCCAGGCCCGGGCCAAACTCCTCCTTCCGTGCCCTGCCCCACCCCGCCCGGCCAGGGCGGGACCAATCCACCCACCAGCCCGCTCCAGGCCATTCCTCCCCCTGAATCGGTGATGGACCAAGCCCCCGCCCCCGGCACACTCCTGCCCCCGGTTCTGGATCAACCCGCCCAGGGCTGGACCAGAACCCATCCCCCACCATTCCTGCCCCCCGCCCGGCGCTGGACCAGATCCCCCCGCCCCCAGCCGGCTCCTACCCGCTGAACATCTTGGCGGCCTCCTCGCGGATCTCCCGCAGCCAGACCATGTCGATGGCGTCCACCTGCCGCAGGAACTCGGCCAGTTTGCGGTTGCAGACCGCGGGTAGGTGCGCGGGGCCCGACGCCGCCTCCATGGCTCCGTCCGCCCGCAGCCGGCGCTCTCCCAGGCCAGGCCCGTGGCAGAAACCTTCCTTTTCCGGGCGCGCGCCGCGCCGCTACCCGCCTCAATTTTCAAATCTAACTGTCAGCTGACGCGCGTGTCGTCACACCCTCCCTGCCCAATCACATAGCGTCAAACGAGGTAGGGGGGGCGTACGCGGCCTGCATCATAGAGACTAAAGCAGGCCTTTCTAGCCAGTAGAGTCTACGATGCGGAGCCTCAGGGAGGAGCTCGCTGGTAAGGCTAGGGGGGTGGGATTCTAGCTGTATCGCCTCTCTTGGCCGTGACGGACGGAGCCGGGAGCCAATGAATATGGCGCTCGGGCAGGGCGCTTTGTGATTGGCGCGGGGGGCGCGCCAGTTAATGAAGGAATCGCTTGACGCATGTGGAGGGTTGTGTGGTGCCTGAGACGGAACGTGTTTCCTTCAAAGCCCTACGGAGGCCGCTCTAGCCGTCCTCTCTGTGGTCTGGAGGTCCTCTCTGCGGGGCATGCACTAGCTGCTGCTGCGGAGAAGAGCCCGCGCTGGGGGACGGTTGGTACCTGGAGGGGGGGAGGGGAGCTACCTGCACGGGGCGCCCTTTCCCCTGCCTGCGCGCGCGCTGTGCTGCTGGGGCTCTGCACCCCCGCGACTGAGGGAGGCGGGGCTAGGCAGGATGCCTGGGTCCTTTTTCTTCTCTTTTTGAGCAGGGAGATGGACCCTGCTGGGTCCTGTTTCCCTCCCCCCGCGTGAGGGCTGGGGATCCCTGACAGCCTGGGCCAAGCCCTGTGCCCCAGGGCCGGGCAGGGAGGCGGGCGCCCTCTGCCCCCGGTGTGGTCTGAGGCAATGTGTCATTGCCCCGCCCTGTGGGGAGCAGCTGGGGGGAAGTGCGAGTGGCTTTGGTGTCCCAGGTGAACGGTGCTGCAGGCAGGTGCTAATGAACACCCGCTCCCCCCCCCCCCTCCGCCCCCCTTGTGTTTCAGGCAGAGCCATGGCGGAGGGTCCCACTCACCTGCTGGAGGTTTGCTGTCAGAAACTGTCCGAGTTCTTGTGCACTGTTGAGCACAAGCACTTGGTATGGCTGCGGGAAATTGAGGAGGAGGCCATGAAGATGTTCGATAGGTAGGACCATCAGGGTGGCAGAAGGGCGGAGCTGTCTCTGATGGGCTCATCCACAGGCTCTTCCTTCTCTCTCAGCTGTCAGTACTCGGGATCCTTCTGATGTGTGCGACAGTGCGTCCCGTGAGTCCTCAGCCCCTCTGTGCAAATGTGCCCCTGTGAAAAGCAGCCTTTGCTTGATGATTTTTTCTCCTACTGTTTTATAGGATTAGCCAGTGGGAACTTCTAACCATTGCAATTGAGAGTCCTCAGGGACTGGTTTTAATGCCAGTCTCAGTGAGATTTCAAACTAAAGGCCACTGGGGAGCCTGGCTTTTCCAGTTACGACTATAACATTTTTTTTGCCTCTGCTTACTAGTGATTTACCTTATCTGTATGCTGGGCACTTTGTTTTAGCCTGTTGTGTTCAGTTTCTGTGGTCTTGCTAGAATGTCCCTAACATGCTGATCAGAAAGACTTCATAGAATCATAGAAGATTAGGGTTGGAAGAGACCTCCGGAGGTCATCTAGTCCAACCCCCTGCTCAAAGCAGGACCAACACCAACTGAATAATCCCACCCAGGGCTTTGTCAAGCCGGGCCTTAAAAACTTCTAAGGATGGTGTTTGCATCACCTCCCTAGGTATCTTGGACTTTTGGCATCTCTTGGCCTTGTTCCCACTGTAATGAACAACATGCTGCTGCTAAGGGTTGAACAGCATGGTGTTCAGGCAAGGAAATAAATTCCTTCTCTTGTGTTCTGTTTTTTTAACAGCAACTTAAGCGCTGAACCTGAGCTGATGCCCAAAACACCATCACAGAAGAAATATCGTAGGAAGAAGCGCTCGTTATCTCTTAAGGATGAGAACAATGAACTGACCAGAAAAAGGTAGGTGGTTGCCTTGGAGCTCCTATGCCAACAGACTACAGAACCAAACAAGCCAGAGGCAAAAGTAAACTACCCATTAAAATAAAATATATACACACCTGTATTGATAATTAAATACATGTGCTAACCTAATCATTATTAGTATACTTAATGTGACTCTACCAGGTCAAAGTTAGTTCAAAATCTTGGTTTTGTATAAGCTTGTGGTTTACAGTAACGTAAGACAAATGGAAATATTCCTTGGTCTTTTTATCCCAATGAATGCTTTTTAAAAATACATTATTTCAACTGTTTGCAATCTAATCCTTTGTGTTAATGCATGATAACTTGAAAGTGAAATTTTTAGAAGCTATAAATTAAAAATGAAACTGACTTTTCTATTTTAATTGCCCAAGGTGAGAGAAATGCAAGAAGTATTCAAAGGGCATGGATTTAAATTTAAAGTGGATTTCTAGGATCCACTTTTATAAGCTAAGTGTCTAACATAGCTGATTATGTTTGGCTTTTTAAATGTCATTTTTAATTAGGGTGTGATTCCAAAAAAATATAGGAAGAGGGGTTTTATACACCTGTCCTTCAAGATGAAAAATAGTTCCTAAGAATAAAACTGTGGAGAAAGCCAATGTCTCTTCTCTCCTAAATATTGTTAAACTAAGGGTACACTATCAACTTAATGTGTCAATTTCTATTAGTCTTTTTTACCCTAAGGCTTTATCAGTTTGTTTACTTTGTGTATTTGACAGCCTTTGTATATAGTCAGTTTCACGGTTATCCTTGTATCATTTGTCAGTTTCTGTTGTTTTTTGCTCTGTAGGGGGAAAAAACACACACTACAGAGGGAAGAAACACTTGAAAATAGGAAAACAAAACCACAGAGTCAGGAAATCTTAGTACCTCAAATATTTGTCAAACCCTCTCTCTTTATGGCCCAGCAACCATTTTCATCTTGCTTTCTGATGCAAAAACTAAATTTGTGGGTTATAAGTAGGATGTTTGCTGTCTGCCTGCTCCAGCCTTGCTGTGCCCTCTAAATTCTCTATAGACTCTTTTCTCTATCACTCCTTAGGCCTGGAACCTCTCCTATACCTCATTTGCAAAGTACCCATCATTTCCATTCAGATCTATCCTTCCAATCCACTTCTATAAAGCTCACAAAGTTTAATCCGGGGTGGCCAACCTGAGCCTGAGAAGGAGCCAGAATTTACCAATTTACATTGCCAAAGAGCCACAGTAATATGTAAGCAGCCCCCAATGAGCTCTCCCCACAACTGGCAGCCCTGCTGATCAGCGCCTCCCCCTCCCTCCCCTCCCCGCACCTTCTGTTCAGCTGTTTCGTGGTGTGCAGGAGGCTCTGGGGGGGAGGGCGAGGAGCGAGGGCACTGCAGGCTCGGGGAGGGGGTGGAGTGGGGGCAGGGCCTATAGCAGAGCCAGGGATTGAGCAGTGAGCACCCCCTGGCACCTTGGAAAGTTGGCGCCTGTAGCTCTAGCCCCGGAATCGGTGCCTATACAAGGAGCCGCATATTAACTTCTGAAGAGCCGCATGTTGCTCTGGAGCCACAGGTTGGCCAACCCTGGTTTAATCCATCTAGGACAGGTGTGCTGTCTGATACCTGACATTTGAGGGGTACATGTTTTTAATGATCTGTGTACAGTAGGAAAAACTGCCTACACCTGACGAGCTGTCTGCATTGTATGCAGCTGAACTGCTGCAAGCATAGGATACCTTGTGCTCAGTATTGTTTCAGTAACCATAAACCCATGGGGGGAGGAAGGGTGGAGAGATTTGAACTAAATATGAGGCTGAAACTGGATGGTAAAGAATGGGAAGGGAGGAGAACATGTCCAGAGCCTAGAGCAGGGAAGAATCATAAATGTCCAGATAGAAGCTAGCTGCTTAATTACATTGTTAGTACCCTCCAAAAAAGAGTGGTGTCTTAAAGAAATTCACACTTCCCTGTGCTTAGTCACCTAGGCCAAGATTTTCAAAACTGACTTGATTTTCTTTGGTGCCCAACTTGAGACCCCTTAAATGGTTCTGTTTCTCAGAAGTGATGTAAACCCACCTTCTCAAAATTAGGCCTCTCTCTCTGGAATGGTCAATTTGTCACTCTTTTTAAACACTCCCTCCCACTTAGGGAAATCTCAAGGTACATAAGGAAGTTATCCCTGAACTCTGAGTCTTTCCATATAGAAAAAGATCTGATCACATGATGCTGGGGTTTTTTGTTTCTCTCAAGTTACACAAGGACACTGCTGTGTGCAATCAAGATCTCATTTCAGAAGTTCACTTGCTCTCACTGCTTGCTCTGTACATTGAGTCAGTTGTGATTAATTTAAGCCGTGATGCTGGAGACGGACCTCATTCTGCAGGAAAAGCTTTTTGATGATGCGGGTAAAAATTCTTTAGGCAATTTCATCCTATTTGTACTTATTCCTCCCACATACACAGCATTGCCCTTTCAGATACTGCTACATCATTTTATGTTCCCCTTTCCTGTCCAAGTGCTACACATTTAATTCTTTGGAGCCTATCTGCTTTGCTCCTTTCTAACAGGCCGCCCCATGTTTCATGGTATCCCCAACTGGGACTCCTGAGGATCGAGATCCTATCTGCATGTTAGTATCCCTAGTAAAGAGTGAGAGAATGATCCAGGAAAAGACAATGAGGTTTTAAATGGAATGGTAGTTTTTATAACTGGGGGTCTTCAGCCTATAATATCTTTCTAAACACTTTGATAGTAGTACTATTTAGCTCTTATGATAAGTAGATCTTAAAGTGCTTTACAAAAGTGATAAGTATCATTATACCAATTTTACAGATATGGGGTGGGAACTGAGCCAAAGGAAGGCCTAGCCAGTGTTGCCCAGCAGGCAGAACAGGGAATAGAATCCAGGTCTCCTGAGTTCCGGTGCAGTGTTTTATTAACTTAATCTCATTAAAAATAGTTGTACCTGGAAAATAAGCATAGTTGCATGTAAAAAATACTGAGAGTCGTGTCTACAATCAGTGATGTCAGTTTTAGGTTCTGAAATGGCTGGAGAGAAAAATCCTGCCTCATTTGACTTAAAAATATGTCTTTGTTTTAAGGTTATCGAGAAGGAGAAGCAGCCTCAAGCCAGCATCCTCTAAGCAAGTTTCCCAAAGGCTCCGAAGCAAAGAGGGACTGGAAAAACCCAGTGATGTTCAACAGGGAGTCAATGCTTCTTTTTCAACAAAAAGATTCCACTCCAAGGTTGAAACGGAGTTTCCTGCTTCATTGGAGGCAGTGGCTGAGAAACCAACAATCTTGTTAGTAGAAGGGCGGGTTCCCTTAACGGAAATCAGTGTCGACAACCGCAGTGGTGCTGACTTGTATTTGAAGGGGAATAGGCCTGAAATAATCGACCAGGCCTTGGAGGTCATCTCCCTGAGTATAGATGACCAAGCTCCCAAGGAGCCTAAGGTTACTGAACTTCAGCCTATGTCTGCAGCCTCAGCACTGGTGATCCCTGACACTCCTGTGGCAAAGGGGACAGGAGAAGACAGGGGTGATCCCAACTTTAGAATAGCAAATACATCCACGCCAAAAGCTCCTGTAAATGGGGAGCCTGGAGATGAGAATGTTTCTGCTCAGGGGCCAGAAAAGGAGCTTTTCCAGGATTTAAAGGACAGCACAGGGACCTCAACAAGCTCCAAATCGAGCCGTCCCTCTACACGCAGAAGTCAGAGGGGTAAGTCCCATAAGCACCGCAGGACCTCGCTAGCAGAGAAGTATTCTCTGGCCAGCAAAAGAGAGAGCATGATCCGGAAATCTATCAGCAGGGCTATCTCTAAGAAGAAGGCAGCTCGGGAGTCCTCTTCAGCCTCCAGCCATGTGAGCTGTAAGTTTGTGAATTCTGAAAAGCAATTCACTGTGTCCTTTTATTCAAAGCCTCACTGCTCTGTCTGTCCATCAGTGTGTTGTTTGACTCGGAGGGGCTCGGAGCCACCTGCAATGCTGCTTGTGCAGGGGCGGTACAACTGAAATTTTTAAAGCTCACCTTACAGTGTCTTAAAGCTTCAAGGCCTAACAGTCCTCTTGTCTCTCCAGCTCAAACTCCAGACCACCCCTCTCCTGCACAGCCTCTGGGCTTTGAAAGTGTCTGCTGATATTCAATTCCTTAAACTCTCTTGCTTGTAGAAGCAAAGTGGCTTCCAGCTGCATCAGTTAAGTGCTGAAGCACATGGATTTTAGGCAAACAAAACTAAATGCATGGCACGCTATTGTCATACAGTAATAGTAAAAACTGTAACTAAAAAAAAAAAAAGGAAAGCTAACCTATGCATGAGACGCTTTGGAGAGCCAATTGAAGTTAAAGCCGTGTGTAAATTGATGGCAAGAGAAACATAAGTCCTGAAACTTCAGATAGTAGCTGCCGAGTCCTAACCTACTGAAGTTCCTTGTTAATGCTGCAGAATATTGAATTTGTGCACTTATTCTTTGGGGGTAGTTACCAGAAATACAAAACACACTTGCTTTCTTCCCTAATGAGGAGTTAAACCCTTTTCTAACTGAAATTCTCCACAGCTTCAACTATGGAATTACTAGTGACCTCTCCATAATACAGACTTGAGTACATCTTTCTGTATTTCCAGCTGATACGGAAGGAAGCTTGGGAGGTACTGAAATGGTTTTTGGGCCATTATGGTGCTTCTCAAGTTCATTGCACTATGTAGCAACTTCTAGCTGTAGAAAGTCAAACAAGGGTGCTTTGAGCTCATATGGAAATCTATGGGTGGGAATGCAATATGTCCCTTGGAGAGAGGGCCTGTATTGCACAGGAGTAGCTGCTTATAGGATGCATCCGATTAAGAGCACCAAGCTAGCTAGTGTCTTGCTTTATCCTTTTTCTTCCAGGCCATAGCTCCCTGGAGGTATTTGTGGATGAAGATGCAACCAGCAATTTCAGGTGAGGCTGCTCTGTCAAATAGGCAGAAGCTATGGAAAATCTTTCAGGAAACTGTACAGGTCGTTCCTATGCCTAGCCACTAAATGAATACTTTGTTCTGTAACCTTCACCTGTGCTTGAGGTTGGTAGTTAAACTCTTCATGCCACGTATTTCTGGCCCTTCGTCAGACTCTGACCATTTTGCAAGCCTCTCCGACAGAAAGACTGGTATGATCTGTTCTTCCTCTCCAATATCTATACTGAGCTACCTAAAAAGGCTGAACGGTTGTTTTCAGCTTGTGCAGAATGATAGTGCACTGCAAGATATTGGCCAGCTTAACTGAGAAACTGTTCCCTTAGGCTCTGTCTGTGAATATTTCCGGTTTGCTGTGTCCCATGTATCTTACTAACTTCCTGACCCCTGTAAACTAATTTCCCTTTCCACCCCCATCACCAGATTGGAGAGGTGTGCAGTTTGTGGTCTCCAAGACTTGCAGGGTAGGGCAGGCTCATCTGTCTGTGCCCCAGGGCTCTGGCATATCCTACCTTTTTGACCTGAGCAATGCTAAGACCTTTTACAAGGGGCATAAACTCACTAGCATATAGCTCAGCAACTTACTGTGCCATCCCCATCTGGCCCGTTCAAACAGGGTTATGTTTGTGGGTCTCATGCTAAAGTAAATTCACTCTCTGCCTGAAGATTGTGGAATTAGAGTTCAGTGTATGAGTCTTGACTCCAGCATGTGCGAACAGTTTCTCCATTGATAAAATTAAATATAATTTTAATTTAATTATAATAAAATTATTATAATTGATAAAATTAATATACTGAAGCAGACAGTCAAATTGTGATCTTGGTCACCAGTAATGTGCTCTTCCAAGGTGCCTAGAAGCCTCTGACTGAGGCACCACAAGAATAAAACCCATAATTTCCTTACTTCCTCTGTGAGAGCAGATAACTTGTCAAAACACCTCTCTCTCTTCAGGCCTGAACTGGAACCAAATGCTGAATGTGACAAGGTAAGGCCCAGGTCAGGCTTTCCTAGGACAAATGCAGTCAGTTAACTGTACTGCTTCTTAGCTGCCAGCTCCTGAGTCTAGATCTCTCTGCTGAGCTGATAGAATCACTGTCACTGAAACTGGAGAATATGTCTGTGGGATTGTTCTGTCTCAACTGTCTGAGTCAAAATTTCTGAGGAAGTAAAGACCCCTCAACTTGGGTTTTGGTATATTATGGCACTAGACTATGATGTCAGAGACCTGGCTTCAAATACAAGACTTCCTGTATTACCTTGGGTGAGTCACTTAGGGACAGATCTTTAACAATATTTGTATTTAAAAATCTGTCCCTTACCCTCCATGTCTTGGTTTCCAATCTTCTGCTTTTATGTTGTATCACTTTTACTCACTCTTCTGTGTCTGTTTACAATGTCAGCTCCTTAGAGCTCTACTGTTTTGTACAGCACCTAACATAACTGGGCCCTAGTCTCTGTTGGAATCTCTATGCGGTATCATAATACAAATGAGTAAAATTAGGGTTTTGTATCAGAACATTTTATAATTTCATTTCACAAGTCAGCATTGTTTTACAACTTGCTTCCATTGAGCTTTGACAGACCCTTCTGAAGACCTATGCACCCAGATTGTGTAGGCTTCTGATTGAATCACTTGCTTTCCTCACTTCTCACACATGTCTTTGCAGGGGAGCTGTGTGGCTTGAGTGTTATGGTGCAGTGCCTTGTTTATAAGGAGAGGTGCTAATGCCTATGGAGCTTGTGCCTTTTCTAATTCTTCTGGTGCAGGGAGGTTGTTGCCTCCCTCACTAGCTGGCTGGCAGCCTCAATCTAGGGCTGTTTAAAACTGACTTTTAAAGGTGCTTGGCCAAGATTTTCAAAAGTGACTAGTGATCTTGGATGCCTCAGTTTGTGGGTGTCCAACTAGAAACTCTTGAAGGGATTCTCCTCCCTTCTTTCCCCCCCCCCCCCAAATTGCTGAGCACCAACTCTGAAAATCAGACCTCTCAAAGCTGTTTCATCCAAACTTGCTAGTCAGTCTATAAAAATCTTGACCTTAAAGTCCCAGTGGAAGAAGGACAAATCTGACACTTCTGCTTTTTGGGGGTGATATCTGTAACACTCCCACCCTGCTGTGCCTTTGCTCCATGAGCAGGCATCCTGTGTCCGTAGTAGCCAGAACAGCACTCTGTGGGTCTGCCCTCCTGCCATTACAAAGAGGAAAAGAGCAGTTCCTGGCTTGTTAGCAGCAGGGCTGCAACCAGTGAAGAGTGCATCCAGAGTCACTGGCTTTGCAATCCTCCTTTTCCCCCTTCCCAAGACACACAGTGCTTGTTGAAGCCCTGTTTCTGTGGGGGGAGTCTTGCTAAAATCTGCTTCCTTCTCCCACAGGCTCCAAAACACCTGCAGAAAACCTTCATTATTCCAAGTGAAGGCAGCCCTGTTGCAGAACTTTCAGCTCAGGCTGAACCACCAAATGGGGCAGAGCAGCAGGCAGGAAATTGTAACGGTAAATATTGCTAAAACTGTGTTGGTGGAACAGCAAGGAAGCATGGGGGGTCCCTTGGGGGTTTATGAAAGATCCGATAGTCTATCTTGCATCTTTGCCACCTATTGACCAAACTTATCCTGCAAGGGCTCTTTGCTGTCTCCAGAGGGGAGTAAGATTTGTCCTGTGCTAGATCATTCAGCAGAGGGTTTTCATAAATGAGCAATTGGACAGAGTCTGTACAAACAACTTCAGTCTGACCAACTAATGGGTGGGGAACTGGAGAGGAAAATATCTTCAAGCTTCAGTTTAGTTTAGTGTCTAGTGTTGAAGAGCAAAAGTAATTAGTGTTTGGACTAGTAACACTATCTTGTGATACGTGAAACAAACTCAGGCGGAACAAGATGAGATTGAGGCAGAGTGAGATGGGAGGGGCTGCAAAATGAGGAACTATGAGATGGGATCAGCTTTTACTGTAGGAAATGTGTAATCCCATAAGAGGCATTGGTTGGAGGATCCTGTTAGACATTTTATTGGGGTGGGGGTGGAGTGTCCAAAATCCTTTAATGGATTAGCATGCTATCTGTCTCATCAAGGGTCTCCACACAGAGGGGTGTGTGATCATACAAGGTGCATACTCTAATACTATTCTTTGATGTTGGTTAATGCACACATACAAAACCTGTGTTTCAAATAGCTAGTGTGCTCCTGTTTTATCTCAGTATAAGGTTTCTGATTGGCACAGCTCTTAGCAGTTGTGTTCTGCAGTATGCTTATGAGGCTTGTCTTGGGAGCCATGAAGACAAGAACCTCTGGCATCGGACCTCTGCTGTAGGAAACTTTTCATGTGGAACTAACTGTAGTATTCTTCACAGAGAGCCATTTGAAAAAGAGTAGCACTTCTCAGAGCAGAGGGAGAAGGGAGCAGCCCCAGAATGCAAAGCCACTAGAACAGCCCTCGAGTATCCGGTATGTTCCTCCTTGGCCTCAGGCTGGGGGAGAGAAAAGAAATAGACTAGTGATCTGGAATGACTAAGTTTTTATCTATCAAATACCTTGGTTGAAAGCTTTGGTATGGTTGGCCAAAGAGGGTTTCAAATCCACATAATGTGCCAACATTTTTGGGTAATAGATTTTCATCAGTTTAATACAAAATAGGGTCCCTTGAAAGGCAGCATGGCCTAGTGAACTAGGCACAGATGGGACTGGAACCTAGGTACGACTCTGTGCAAGTCACTTATATCTGCTTTCCATTTTGGGGATGGGAATAGTACCCTCTTCCCCCCAGGGACGTAGTAAGGAACTGTTTGTAAGTCTCTAAGTGCTGCTTGGAGGGGAGGAGTGGGGTGGCTAAGGATGGCTGCGCAGCAACTTCATAGAATAGTTTGAACAGACTCTTAAGTGCCTAAAATATCTAAGGGCTTGGCTCTTTCCTTTACTTCCCCAGTTGCTGATTCTCCTGCATACACAAGAGAATGATAGTAAAAGATCCACTAAAGCCAATTTAAATGCAGTTATTGCTCTCAGTTCTGTCCTTTTTCAACCTCTTATCCCCCTATTCAGGCTCTGTTTGATCTTGTGAAATCTACAGCATCTCCTGTAGTTGGGGTACCTGGGAAAAGTGGCAGCAAATTCTGGCACTACAAATAAGCTAATGTACAAAAACTCTTCAAAGCAAACTAAACCTTTCACATGGTGCTGGGTATGGACAGTACACAACACATTTTCGATTATGCCGCATGCCCTGGCCCACCTTGCGTTACTGATGCTGGCTGTGACAATCTGGCATCTATCAGAAACTCACATCTATCACTTCCTGAAGCTGGGGCTGGAGAACAACATTGTGGTTGCTTAGTGAGATAGGCTATCTCAACTATTGTTTTATAAGTCTAGTAACCCTCCATCCTTCGCACCTATTCCCATCCCCTGTTTCTAGCATCTTCATGGCTGTGTGTTCTGAATATGTGGTGTGTTCACATAGGCGTCACAGATCACTTGATGGTGCTGAGTAGGCAGGAGGGGTTGTATAAAATTAATTAAAGGCTGAAGTGGAGGCCAGGAATGATGTTTCCTGTGCTGCATCACTATAACCCACCCTTTATTCTTTCAGGAGACAGAGTTATAAGCAAGCAGTGGATGAGCTGTGTAATGGGCAGCAGCTAGAAGACTGTGACCTCTCTCCTTCATATGATAAGACCACTTCTTCTCCTGCCAGCAAGACTCTAGCCTCGCCCAGCCCAGCCAGCAAGGTAAGTAGATTCCATGGCCCCACATCACTCTCCCTATTCTGGATCCCCTTCTGATGCCCTCTGCTCTCCTCATAGGTCGTGCGTCCATTCAAACACTTTTTGCAGACGGTGCAGAAGAACCAGCTGCTCGTGACCCCAGGGTCTGCGGGGCACAGTAGTGTCATGAAAAACCTTATAAAACGCAACACTCCTACCCGACCTGATTCCAAGGTAGAGACGATGCCTTTTCCCTGAGGGTGAGAAGGGAAGAGCAAATGTGTGGGGCAGGGTTGTCCACTTTGAAATACGCACTGCAAATCTGCATCACAAGCAATTCAAGATTCCAAATGAGGAACGGTACCAAGGAACAAACTTAAATCACAACTCTTCCCATTCTAATATGCTGACTGAATGTCAGATCCAGCACCCAAACTCTCTCCTCTCGGGTGGTCTTGGCAGAGAGGCTAAAAACTGAATGGGCCATGGAGATTATTTTCCCCTTTGATGTCTGGAGATGCTCCCTCCAGAGTGAGATGCACTGGTGTTATGGGAGAGCAAACTCCTCTGTCCCCAGCAAGAGTACAGCATAGGCCGTGTCAGGGTAAGGGATGTACAGGAGTGCATTGCCATGCTGGTATCTTTCATCAGCATGAAATTGACTGCCTGTAGTTTTTAGCTTAACCCACTGAAATTCCTTTTGACAATCTCTTCCATGCTAAGTACTGGGTTTGGATAGTTTCCCCTGTAGCAGTTGTCTTTATGGCTGCCTGTACTCCTGGGGAAATTCTGCGCCAAAAAATTTAAAATCTGTGCACAGTATTTTAAAATTCTGCACATTTTATTTGTCAAAATAACACGATATAATCATGCCAGTTTCAATTTTGGCAATTTTATTTCAAAATTACCTGTCAGCAAGTATGTCTCTAACAATACACACACATATTGCACTAGGGATAGAGCGTTAAACAACCCCTTACGACAACCCAGTTCCTGTTTCTCTGCCCCCTCCCCCACAGAGCCCAGCTGGGGGCCAGACACCCTCACTCCCTACCTCCCGCAGAGCCCAGCCATGCCCCCCCTCCCAGCTGACACACTCACAGACCCTGCCCTCCTAGAGCACAGGGATCCAGAGGGAGAAACAGCCTGATGCTGGGTCACAGGCTTGCACAGAGATTCCTGCGTGCTGCGACCTCCTTCCTACAGGGTGTACTAGGAACTGCAGTTACTGGGAACCCTCCAAATCACTCACTTCAGCCCCTGGCCTTGTTTTCTTTTTGCAAGCTGGTCCAGCAGCCCCTAGTGGTGGCCAACATCTCTGTAGCCGACTTCTGTGTGGAGGGGAAGGAAATTCTGCATGCCCAACATTAATTTCTGCAAAATTCTACGTTGCACAGTGGCACAGACTTCCCCCAGGAGTATAGGTTGGTCCTGGAGTAGTGGTGGCGGCATCAGCTGTTGCATTGGGGTGAGTGGAAGATCATGTAGGGAAACAAAGGTTTGGATGAATTTTTAGATGTTTGAAAATGTGCATTTTTATAACCCCTCAATGGAATAGGAGCACCTTAAAATCATAATGAATCTGGTCTTCCATTACCCTTATCAGTTAGCTAATATCAAAGTCTCAACACATATTGTGACCTTGAACATCAACTCCTTAAAGCTTTCCTATGCATGTAGAGAAATCTTGGCTACCCTGTCACGTTCAGCCCAAACTCTAGGATGGTCAGTGGACACTTCTTTGAATTTGAAATTGGGTCTCTGCTGTCCAGCAGGCTGCTGGACAGTTGTAAGACAAGCAGTGCAATGAGAACCAAAGCGGTAGGATCATCGTAACTAACCACTGGGCAAGATGAGACAAGAGTCCAAAGGTTGTGGTTCTAGGTTTACTTGGCTAGTTCCAGAAGCAGTAATCCTTGTTTCTCCTCTTTTATATCTAAACAGGGGGATTTTGTTGTAAGTAATGACTCCTTAATCACAGGGTCTGTGGACTCATAGTGGGCACATTTATTACCTCTGTAATGGGCACTGGCAGCTCTTTAACCTCATCACTAACCTGCACGCAGACCTAATATTTCTTCTGAGTCTCACCTGAGAGCGAAATGATGTACTGGGCAGCATGTGGATGGTGTGTACACCTGGAAGTGAGTAGAATTGTTCAGAATGGCCCAAAGGGGATCTTGCAGTACCTGGATAAAACTCAGCCATGGCAAATACAAACTGAGAATCTCTGAAGGGGATTGCTATTGGACATCTCATGGTGTGTAAAATGATCTCCAGGGGATATAGTGGAAGTGATACTACTTGTGTCACTCAAACAAGGCTGGCCAAAGCCCTGGAGAATATACTGTAGGGAACAATCATGGTTTGGCCACTGGAAATGAACTAGATGACTTAAAGGGTCTTACGTTCTATCTTCTAGACTAAAAACCATGTGTCTAAAAAGGACATAAAGGGGTCCTCTTCAGGGCTCTCAGAAGAACGGAGGAATCGTCATATTTGTAGCACTGACACTGGCTAGTAGCGTTTTGTGGTGAATACAGCAGCACAGTCACTGATGGTGTCTTTGCCTGACTGTGTCCAAGCAGAAACAGGTACTGCAGAGGATATTGGGCCTGAGGTGTCTTACTCACAGGACCTGTCCCACTCCCCCTCCGAGCTCCTTTTCTTCTTCAGGAAATGGAGTGGTTGAACTAGCACTGCTGCCAAAACGGCACTCTCTGGTTCCTACCACACGTGCCTATTCCAGAGGGAGTGTGCATGTGTCTCTGACTGAGGTGGCAGTTCCCCGGTGTGTTGTCTCTGGCTTCCTGTGCCCAAGTAGCCTGGGGCAGAAAAAAGCCCTAGCAGTTGGGTGTACTCTGAGCTTCCCGCCCACCCCAGGAGAAGGAGCGCCAGCGGCTGGAGAGCCTGAGGAAGAAGCAGGAGGCAGAGCAACAAAGAAGACAGAAAGTGGAGGAGGAGAAAAGACGGCGCCTCGAGGAGATGAAATTGTGAGTGGCTGCCCCTCCAGCTGCTCCTCTTCTGGTTCAGCTCTGAATCACTTCAAGGTCTTGTCTGCACTGGTGACTTGCCCTGATTACTGCCCGTGGTATCTAGCTACAGCTACGTTAGTGTAAACAGCTAGTGGAAATGGTGTACAGCTGCCGTTGGGGCCAGTGGCGCTTACCCCAGTTTGAAGCAAGGGTAGGCTGAGGCAATGAAAGGCTCTTACACTCTGCATTGGGGGTGTGCACCAGTGTGCGAGCTGTTCCAGTGCTGGGGCATTGATAGCTGTAACCAGGGCAAATCCGCAGTGCAGCCAAAGCTAACTGTCCCCACTCGTCCCCCAGGAAGCGTGAGGAGCGTCTGAGGAAGGCACTGCAGGCTCGGGAACGGGTGGAGCAGATGGAAGAGGAGAAGAAAAAGCGGATGGAACAGAAATTCTCTCAAACTGAGGAGAAGAGCGAGAAGGTAAGAGACCCAACCTGGAAACGGAGCCCCTGGGGACAGTTGGGTTTTCTCATGGCAATGGGCAGTGAACCCAGTATGGCGTAGCGATGGATTGCCTCACTGTGTGATAAACGTATCGGCAGTTACTAAAATCCTTGATGCTAGTGACACTGACCCCAGAGGCCATGAGTGGGTAATGAGGCCACTCGGTATTAGGCCCTAAGTGACTCTTTTTGCTCTATCTGTAGTTCTCTGTTCAACAGGGAAAGGCTCTGCTCTGTCAAGTCCATGCAACAGTGTTAATTATGCCTATCGTGGATTTCAGTGTCTATCGTACTCTAAGCTCTTTGAGGACTAGTAGTGGTGTCTTTTTTGTTCTGCTGATCAAGGTCTTATCAGCAGGCCCTGTGCCCTGCAACCAGAATACAAAGTGTTGGGTCCAGGTTGAGTGGGGTGCTCAGGTTTGGGTTGGCTCAGCTCTCATCCTCCAGCCAGCTGTGTGCCCCACTCCTGCCAGCTGCCACCACTTCACTGTGCTGTGTGTGCACAGCGGAGTGACGGGCACTGCAGCTCCTTGGCACACTCACTCCACAGCACACAGTATGCAGCCGTGGGTGTGCTCAGTCATTGCAGGCCCTGTGGGTGCTGAGTCAGGTTCATGGGAAGTATTGCGCTTAGGTCAGAGAACAACTCGATTCTCTCAGGCTTGGATCAGGTGAGCTCGGTTCCAGTCCTGGTCAAGCCTAAAATTAGGTCCAAACAGACCTGTACTTGGAGCAGGGAGGTCACTCTGTTTGCACTGCACTAAAGCATGTGGGCCACTCCTGTAATCCACCTTCAGTGCAAAGGCCAATGTCCCTGCACCTGGATGCAATAGTTCCTAGTGGAAGAGCTGCTTTCTTTGATTCCAGCCTACTGACAACCACGCACAGCTCTGCTGAAAGGTGCATGTGTGACAGATGTCTCTATTTATACCACTTCTGTGAGGCACGCTCTTGCAGACTGCTCATGTGGCAGAGACCAGGGAGAATATGCAGAATGCTCCAGAGCTGACCGTTTGCATCTGGGGTATTGCTGCTACTCCAACACTTCATCAGTAGGTGCTGCTGAGTTAGAGATGTGCTGTGTGTGGTTGACCTGGTGTTCTAGGGCAGTGGTTTTCAAACCATGGTCGTGACCCAGAACTGGGTCAGGGAAGGGATTGGCTCATGGCGGCTCTGGTCAGCACCGCTGACCGGGCCCTTAAAAGTCCCGTCAGCAGTGCTGCCTGGCTAAGGCAGGCTAGTCCCTACTTGTTCCGACACCCCGGAAGCGGCCAGTAGCAGGTCCAACCCCTAGGCATGGGGGCCACAGGGCTCCACGCCTTGCCCCCACCCCAAGCACCAGCTCCGCACTCCCATTGGCTAGTTTCTGGCCAATGGTGCGGTGGGGGCAGTGCCTGCGGGCGAGAGCTGCGTGGAGCTGCTTGCGCGCCTCCGCCTAGGAGCTGGACCTGCTGCTGGCTGCTTCCAGGGCGCAGCATGGTGTCCGGTGCCAGGATAGGCAGGACGCCCGCATCTGCACCCCTGCTGCCCCACTGACTGGGAGCCGCCTGAGGTAAGCCTGTGCCCCAATTCCCTGCCTCAGCCCCCCCGCCCCCAAACCCAGAGCCCCTCCCTGCACCCAACCCCTTGCCACAGCCCTGAGCCTCCCAGAGCCCCTCCTGCACCCCAAACTCCTCCTCCCCAGCCCTGAGCCTCCCAGAGCCCTGACCCCCTCTTGCACCCCAACCCCCTGCCACAGTCCAGAGCCCCCTCCGACACCCTGAACCCCTCATTCCCAGCCCCACCCCGCAGCTCTCACCCCCAGCCTGAGCCCCTCCCAAACCCCTCATCCCCAGCTCCATTGGGTCACAGGCATGAACAATTTTCTTGAACTGGGTCACCAGGAAAAAAGTTTGAAAACCACTGTTCTAGGGGCAGCCCAAGAGCCTGGGGATCCAGCTTGGTTGGTTTGGCTTAAGCTCTGGGAGAAGGTTGACATTCACTGAACCCCTCTCCCCCTTTTCTTTCTTCTTCCAAATGAGGACGAAAACTCAACACACTACAGAGCTTGTTTCCATTCTGGGTGATGGGGCATAAAGCAGATCTTTTCAGGATCCATCCTTCAAGGTTATTGGCAAAGACTAAAGGACTGCATCTTTCCCCTGCACTAACAACCAGAACCACATACAGTCCTCAGTATTCTTCTCTCAACCACATGTTCCTTTCCACGTGTTCTTGCTTATTGCTAGGCCACTCAGTTAAAGTGAAGGAATCTTGCATTTGTGGTCTTCTCACCTCCATGTCCCCAGTTCATTTTGCACGTCAGTTTGCCTGCAAGAATACTGTACCTTAAGCAAAAGAGAAGCCCATCTTCCTGCTGGCTTTCCCTTGTTCCGATGAAGGTCATGTAGCAATATGGCATCCTGTATTTTGGATTCTGTGTAACGCTGTTTCATGTACTCTTTCCAGGTATTCCTGGTGATGGTCTTCTCCTCCTGTGAACTGCGACTGGGGCTGAACTCGCTGCACTGGGTGCCATCTGCCTTTTAAAATATGTACACGCTTCACTGGGGCTTTGGACTTTCACTCCGCTCCAGAGAAAGGCATCGTCCCCTATGGGATGTGATGGGCCTCACACTCCTGAAGAGCTCCTGACTCTTCTTTCTATTGTAGATAAACATGTCAAGACTGTCCCATATAAGGCTGGGCAGGGTTCAGACCTGATGTGTGTGATTCTCTCAGGTGCGAGAAGAGAAGGTGGTAGAAGAAAAGATGAAGAAAAAAATAGCTAAGACGGCTGGGGATGTGGAGACCCGAAAACAGAAAGTGCTGCAGATGGTAAGAGCAAGATTAGGTACCATCTGTAAGGAGAAGAGTTCACAGGGGAAAAACAGAATGATGGGAAATCTGCACAGTGTGCTTCATATGGGGCAGAGGGCAGAACAATAACCAGTAAATAGCTGTGGGAGAACAGGCCAATGAGTATGTCAGAATAAATTTACCTCCACACACATACAGAGAGAGAGAGAGAGAGAGAGGCGCGCGCGCACACACTCTCCCTCTCCTCCCCTCCTCCTCCCCCCAATTTCCTACTCCTTTTGTGACTGAGGTGCCTTATCACTTACTTTCCTTCCCAGTGTAAGGTCACTCTCCAAGTTTGTTCTAATGCATCTCACCATTATGAGTTGCATAGCACCATAGATGTGCATGGTGTTTTTACTGACCTCTCCCACGGGGGCAGGGCTGCACAACTAAGGTCCAAGAAACTAGTGGTGGTGATGAAGATGGGTCAGAGCAGGTAGCATTAAGGTTAGGAGAGGGCACTTGACCCGTAACTCACCCACCCTCCGCGTTTAGCATAGAAGAAGTGGACTTGCTTTGCCTTCCCAGGAGGAGGATGAACGCAAGCAGCAGGAGCTACTGCAGAAGAGGAGAGAGGGTGAACAGCAGGACAAAGGGAGAAAGATTGCAGAGCTGAAGAAACTGGCAGAGCAGCAACAGGTGGAACAGGCAAAGGAGAGGTGAGAGCTAGCCTGTTTCCACACCCCTGAGAAGAGGGAAGGGGGTGGAGCGACAAGCATGGCAAAGCAGATCTTGTCGGTACTAGGAGAAGGGTGTGAGCGATGGGCTGTAGCGGAGGGTTCTGGGTGCAGAAGGCTGGTATTGGAGCATCCTGGATGGGAAATGACTCACTTTCTGACTCACTTAGTTATGCTTTGATTTGCCAGGAGTCACAAACAGCAAGAGAAGGGGAAGGCCCTTCACCTGCAGATGGAGCTGGCAGTGGTTACAGAGGAGGAGGAAAACCAAAAGAAGGTAGGGAGTTGAGACTCTGTGTCATGCAGTGGACTTCATTCTATTTATGTCTGTGGCCTTGAGCATGCCTTTAGCTTTACCAGTTGCATTCTTCCTCGTGTAGGGTAGCACTGAGGCCTACCTAATGTCCAAATCAGCAAAAGGCTGCATTGGAGTCTAACAAAGAATTGCTGCTGTTCCTCCACTGTGGAGAGAGTGTCTGTCCCCTTCATAGGGTAGTGTCCCATCCTGCTGATGGAGGTGATGATGAATGGGAGACTAGGGCCTCTCATATAGGACAAGTCAGATTCAATGGGAGTGAAAGCAGGGTGATCTGTGTATAACTTGGATTTGTTAACAGGAGGAACAGAGTCCAGAAGAGCAGGACCGGCAGCAACTGCAGGAAAATAAAACCAAGCCACCAGAATCTGTTGCTATTGTTCCCAGTAAATGGCTGAATATAACAGTGGAGGTGAGTGAGCCAAGAGCATGAGCAAAGACAGGGGTTCCAATGTCTATTGGGCTATAATTTCCTGGGTCCATGGAAACCGTTCCTCTTTGTATGGGACATTCTCCTTCAAAGAGAGCAGGGATGTCTCTTATCTGAGCAGCCATAAGAAACTTGGCTCAACATAGAAACAATGGAGATAATCCTTTTGTTTGGAATTTAAAACAAGTGATGGGAAATGGCCACATGATGGCGCAAGATCCTGAAGGATCCTGGAAGTTTGTGCTGTATTGTAGCCTCTCTAGTGACATCAGGTAGCTGAGAAACTTCCATGTTTCTCCAGTTGCTTTGAACTCTCTAACTACCACCACCGGCGTTAAAACGTCATTGTGTTTATAGCCTAGAAGTGTTCGGTGAATCAAACTGAAAAACTAGACTTAGGGCACAATGGGATCAGCTTTGCTTTTTCAAGCGGCCAGCTACTACCTCTTCCATAACTTCTGGTTGTCTGATGCCTGATACCATCTGAAACTTGACTTGTCTTGTATTCTGTGACTGTATTTTATAGCTCACTGGAAAAAGGAGGGAAACTTTATTGGGTTCACATAAGAAATGTCCTTGCAGCAGGTGGTGGGTCTCATTTTGACACACTGCCCCTGCTCAGCCATGCTGGAACAAAGCCATTTTTTTCCTGCTCTTAGCAAACTCTCTAGGCATTGAAATTGGCCTAAGTGACTGTCTTATGGGTCCTTACGCTTATTTCTAAAAATGACTAGGTGTTGCACTTACCTGTAGTCAGGAGTAGAATGTTAAAACCTCGTGTCATCTTATGGCTTTTATTATCGCTAGGAATTCCTGTCATGGTCCCACAGTACTAGGCACTGTACAGACAAGTGACACTCCCTGCTCCAGAGAGATTACAGTCCAGGGGTCAGATGGGATGTGACAAATGGACAAATGGAGAGGGTGAGGGGAATGAAGTTATACAATGAACAGAGAGTATCAGAAAAATTCAATTCTCTTCTTGGCACTTGCCTGCAAATCATTTCCATCTGGTACGGGAGAGGCATCACAGCAGAGTGAGACTTTAAGAAGGAATTCAAAGGTGGATAAGTGGGTGGCTCTTCAAATGTTGACTTTTGTCCCCTATGCATAGTATCTGACAACTAATACAAGACGCCCACGTTCTCTTTGGGTGAGGAAGATTTGTAACACTGAGTCAGTGACTCCTTCCCTTGGTTTGAAAAAGGTCCGACTCCCGAAGCACTTTATGGTTGTATGAAGCCCCTTAGGTGTGTGTGCTTTTCAGGAGATTTTGTTGTTGTAGAACAGCAGGAGCACCAAGCAGGCTGTGTTAAGTAGCTTCCTTGCCTCTGCAGCTGTGAGGAGGGAGTGAGATGGAAGGAAGAGGTCCTGTGAGCTAATGGTGCTCAGTCCCGTGTAGCGTACTGCACAGACACCAGCATCAGTGAGTTTACAATCCGAGTAATTGCTGTTGCTGCTCTTAGTTGTGCTTTCCAGCCGTACTATTCCTGATGTATGAAAGATGCCACTGCTGAACACCTAGAGGGTGAAAAACAGGGCAACTTCCTGCTGTTCCAAGAATGATATTGTTGATGTTTGATCTTTTGATTGTATACAGTTCATTTTTAAAAAATGTTATTGGCAACACATGGCTTTAGATGAGTCTCTACACTTAGCTTGTTGTTTTTTTTAGGTTAATTATAGAACAGCAAATGTCTGACATCAAATGTGACTCAGATCAACTGAGTAAACAGTGTTGTATAAACAGTCCTGTAGCATAAAATGTTATGCTTCAGCACAGCCTGGTAGCTTACTAGGCGAGAGATCCACGTTCAAGTCTTAATTCCTCCCTCCACAAACCCTCTCCGTTGGCATGAGTTGGAAGCACTGCCAAAGCAGCCTGCTCAGCCCCTACAGGGTGTGCAGGGGGAGAATGCTGTTTTTTCTACACAGGGATCTAAGGAAGTTGGGATCAATTGAAAATCCCAGCCTAAATTATTTAAGCAGTGTATTCCTTCTGAATTATCATGTGGCTGTTTTTGCCTTCCCATAAACAGACAGGCATGATCTCTGGATCTGGTGTTTTGGAGTGGGATTGAAGTTCAGGTATGAACGTGACATTGACTGCCAGAGTCATACCATTGCCACTTCCTGTCTTCCATGGCTCACCTTTGTTCCCTCCAGGGCAGAGTATCTATTTCATTCTCCTGCCCATGGAGACTCATGGCAGAACAGTAATAATTGTGATTCAAACCTAGTGTTGTATGGATAGCAGCAAAGCTGTATATATTAAACTTATTGGTGCTGATATTTGCTGTCCTACCACCTGCTGTTGGCACCAGTGATTCTTGGAGTACACAATGTAAATCTCCTGCTCCTAGAACCTGGGATGTTTCTGTCATAAATAACTAATAGACTAATCAAAATCAACAGGGGTTCTTTCTGGAAACTCAAGCTGTCTCATCAGCACCACTACATAGAAGTATCATTATAAGGTAATTGGTTGTTTTGTTTTTCTTTTAAGGCTATATATCTAACTTTTCTTTATGGTTTCAGAAATCTCCTGTCTCTGACTCCTATGAAAGGCCCCCTTTAGGCTCAAAAGAACCCAGATTTCCCAAGGTAAATCCAAATAACTATGGGCTGGATCTGAACAGTGATGACTCCACAGATGATGAAAGCCAGCCCCGCAAGCCCATCCCAGTCTGGGCCACCGGTACGTGCATATTTTGTTATACCCACTGAAACGTCATCTATGAGAATTTGGAAGACCCCAGATTTCTCAGGGAGGCTTAGAAGTAGAGGAAGCCACGATTTAGGCCAGAAGTGCATGAGGCTTCAACTTATTGCAGTGCCGTGTGGTACTAGCTTGGAGTGGTAGTCTGAGCAGGTGCTATTGTTCAGCTGTTAATTCAGAATCCCTTGTGCCCATCCCTAGAGCTGAAGCGCTTTTGCACTGTTTGAAATCAGAAGGCTAGGGAGTTCACCAGTGCTAGGCAATCCTTTCTTTCAGTGGTGGGTTTTCCATAGTACTTGAGATGCCTTGGAAACCAATTATATTCTCTGCATGAGGGGGAATGTAAGGTTCTATATGAAGCCAGGAAAAACCTTGATCCAGTACTGAGAATTCAGTATCTGCCATGCCCACCCCAAATCTCTTCCACAGCTGGCTCTGTGGGGCCCTTCTGCAGGGCGATAGAGCCTGGAGGGTTGCTCTTAGATCTTGGCTTTCATGCACTGACTCGCAGTAATCATGGTACCAAGGGAGTGAGGTTTAACAGGAGTACTGAGGTGCTACTTAGACTGTTAGTGTAACATGGTGGTTATTTTCCCAGGGGCTCAGCTTAATCAAGCTGTTACATACCAATACTACAACCCTCCAAATATCGAGACACTCTTCGGGCTGATCATAAGCCCTAAACTGGAGGACATTTTCTACAAGAACAAGCCGCGATATTTCAAACGTACCAGCTCTGCTGTCTGGCACTCACCTCCCCTTCCCGGTACCAAGTCTACACTGGGCCTGCCCTACAAACTGAAAAAGTACTGAGGAAGGAGAGTGTCCCTCTTCTGTCCACTTGCCATTTCCACATTGTCCTGGTTTTTGTGTAAAGAAAAAAAATCTTTTCTAAGATCTGTTTTGGTTTTTTTAATATTTGCATAGAATAAAAGCTTAAATAAAAGTTCATGTTAAAATAATCAGGGCCACTTTCCTTCCTGTCTGGGGTGGGTTTTTGTTGAAACTTCGAGTTTTGCTGTGGGGAAGACGAGGCCTACTAAACTACAGCACTGCCCCCTCAGTGTCACTTTATTTCCTTCTATCCCCCTCCCTTACGTGTACCCATGCTGCTGTGTGGCACTTCTAGACCACTCCAATTCATTTAGTTGGTGTTCGTCCTACTTTGAGCAGGGGGTTGGACTAGATGACTTCCTGAGGTCTCTTCCAGCCCTAATATTCTATGATTTACTGTGAGAACCCCTGTCTGATGGTATGTCTGTAGGTGGCAGTGCAGATGTTCTCAACGGACAACTGACAGCATTACATAGCTTATCTTTTTGGGGTAAGCTAAATGCCCAAATAAAAGAGCTGCATGGAGGATTTGATCTCACGTGAGTATGACTTGCTGTCTTCATGGCCTGAGCTCTTCACTTGCTCCTTAGTAGTTAAAATGTTCAGCTTTTATAGTGCCCTCTAACTTTGATCTGAAATCTTCATGCTTGGTCTTAGGCTGGAAGTGACTTTTATTTGGACTGGTTGATATGCCTGAATGAATTTTATCACCAGTGTTTTGTTTTAAAACAAAACCAAAAAAACCTAAAAACAAATTCCAGATGATGCTCTTGCACTCAAATTAAAAGCAGTTCTAACCATCTGTATATATCACCTGGGAGCCTTTCTTCTTGACTTCTTTCCAATCCATAAGAGCTGAAGGAGCATCTTCAGAGTTATGCTCCTTACTGCCTGCTCAAGTCAGGTATCAAAGTGAAATGTCCCAAGTGTGCCGCAGTCCATGCAGTTACTCTCATCAGTTACTCCTGTCTGACACAGCATAACTGGATGCTGTGAAAGAGTGGAACTGTACTACTCTGAATGTACCACTGGGCCAGGTTCCAACGTGGTTTGTGGATATTTGAGCAAAAATTATTCTGCAACATACAAACCTGTGTCCAACAGCTTGTTGCTTATACAATAGCAGTTTCTAGAAAAAGTGTTCTCCATACGTAGCCAAGCTCCTTTCGGCTGCAGAGGTTAAGTCTTATTGGAAGCTTTCCCTGCCACTGTCTGTGCTGTCCCTGGGGAGTGGCTGGAGGACAGTTTGTTCTGTGCTTCGTAGGAGGAAGATACTGAACAAAACCTGCAGCCTCCATCTCTGCACAGCTCCTCTCCCAGTCTCCTGTACTGCACAGAGGTAATTAAGAGCTGGGAACTGTCAAGCTGGATATTTAGATCTGTTTCAGAATCTCACCCTATATTGGCTCAGATTTGAACAAGGTGAATGGCAGAGCCTGAGGGCAGGGAAGGGTGGCTCAGTAATGTTACTAAGGCTGCCTTCGTTGCTCAGCATCACTTTGCTCTCCCTAAATTATCTTGACATGTGGCTCAGAGGTACAAAGCTTTAGTGGCCTTTTGTTTGAATGCTGGCTGAATGCTTCATTAATAAGGTAGAGACCCTATGGCAGGGAAACATTCCTGCTTATCTAACCCAGTTGCCAGCTTACACAGTTGTGAACTAGATCATTGAGAGATGTATACGGTCATCCTTCTACAGAGAGCATTGGGCAACCAAGTTAAATGAAAGAAGAATTTAAATCCATTCTGCTGGTGAAGTGGAGGGAAGACAGAAGAACAAGTTCTGCTTTGCCATACCTACTCAGAGGTGGGGATAATGTCATTTTAAACTTCAGCAAAGCAGAGGGTGTCTTTGGAAATGCAGATCTTTGCTTTACAAAAGCCTTGTCTATGCTAGGGAAATACAACAATGGTGGAAAAACTTGTAAATACTACATCACCCAACCCTGTTGCTATTTCCACTGATGATGATCTTCCAAATTCCATGTCTTTTAATCCTGCTCCAGATAAGACAAATCACCCATGGAGGAAAATGATGGCAGCTGCAGGAGCCTTGTCTACACTGGAGTTCTTAGCATTGGTGGCACTAGTGAAGCTCAACAAGTGTTAGTGATAGTAGGAAAGCATTGGTAGACAACTTCTGTAAAACTTTCCCTAGAGGAGAGAAGGTTATGATGCACTTTTGGAGGTGGGGGAGTTCTAAAGAGCAGTCATGCCTTGAGCTGTGTGATACAAGCTAAGTGCTTTCTATGTCAAATGGAAATCTCATGACATGAAGAGTTGGGCAATCCTTGTCTCTCAGATGAAGTGACTAAATGGGGGGAGAACAAGGAGAGAGTGACTGTGTAAGAATTAAGCAATCTCTCTTCTTGAAGGAGGAAGAGGAAACCAGGAGCCTTCATTGGCTTCCTGATACATGTCATAATAAGAGGGGTGGGAGGTGGCTGCTGTCTTATCCCCAAGATCTGCCCTGGTCTGTCAGAAATCCTTTGATTCTGAAGAAGCCAGGAGATGCATGACCTCAACTTATTGTCCTAGAGGTGATTATGGTATCAGGCAGCAGTGCCTTCAGGAGTAAAAAAGAAGAAAATGGTCTGGGGATAAGCGGATGCTCTTAAACCTCCATCTCTTACAAACAAACAAATCCTAGTCCCATGGTGCTTCCGCTCAGCAATATGACTAGCACTCAGGGCAGCGTCATTGATTCTGTTGCTCTTTCAGCCGCTCTTAATTACTGCTAAGTTCAGTGTGGTGAAGTTGACTCCTTTAAGGTTTCCTGACTCCAAAACAGGCTTAATAACAAGACTAAGCAATCTTTCCCCATGTTTTGAATTGAAAAGAGTAAAATTATAGGTGTGAAATATGAAGAGGGTTGGGGGCAAGTATGTATGAGGTTGTGAGGGTGGACTGGAGTAGCCAAACTTCCCTCAGTGTTTCATAATAATGGCTACATCGCCTAGATAAAGAATAGAGGTGATGAACCCTGCCCGAGCAGAGGAGCCCCGTGGGCCAGTCTGTACAGCTTAACAGGGACATTCATGAGCATGCGTCTGTACCTGGCACAGTTCACCCCCCTCCCCAAGGCCTACCCCTTCTATGGTGTGAGGGAGACCTTGGTGTGCGTCTACCTCAAGTGTTGCAGCCCCTTTTCCGACTCCTCCAGAACCTTCTCCTTAGGTTCTGGCTGCACCTTTCTCCGCACCTGCTGATTTACATACACCCCTTCCGTTGCCCCACGAAGTCACAAGACAACCTTGTCAACCTTTTCCTGGTGCTGGCCCAGGTGCCCATCCACCATGCCAGGAGGTGGATGCTAGACAGGGAGGTGCTGTGCAACTGTGGGGCCTATTTCTGCTCCTCCCTTCGATCACACTTCAAGACAGAGTTCCTCTGGGCCACATCTGTGGACTCCCTAGACACCTTTGAGGAGCAGTGGATGCTGTCCACGGTTCTCTGCTCAGTATCCTCCTCTGGTTCCCCGCTTACAACCCTGTGACCCTCGCTTCTGTCTCTGTTTTATCATTTGTTGCCCCCCAAACTTGCTTGAGCCCTATGTTCAGTAGCTCCTCCCATTAGGCTGGTGGAGTGGCCTTCAGATGTGGATGGGCCCCCCCTAGGGACTTTAATAAGTAAACAGCTGTCATGTATTTGGCCATTTTCCCAGGCAGACTGTTTCTTGTGTTAGCCATGTTTTGGCTTCCAATAAATGCTGACGACTGCACAAAGTAACTAGCCATGCTGAGACTCTCCGCTTCTTCTGGTAGTAGATATTGCTGACAGCTCCTCTGGATTAAGAAACAGGGCTGCAATTCTGATTTGTTTTCATGTGATATAATTGCAGAAGTTTTATCTATTTGCACATTGTGTCCTCCTGAGCAACACAGCATGCACTAGGAGACTGAGTCATTCCCCGCCTCCTGTTACTTGGCTGATGCCAGTGCTTAGCCGACTGGCACCTCATGACTGGGGGGGGGGGGGGAATGTTGACCATTCAAACGCCAAATAGTGCTTCATAATTGTGCCCCTTTCTCATTACAGTCGCTTCAGAGCAAAGGCAGTTAAGATCTGAAGTGAAGGTAGTTTTAAAAGATATATACAAAAAAGAAAAGGAGTACTTGTGGCACCTTAGAGACTAACCAATTTATTTGAGCATAAGCTTTCGTGAGCTACAACTCACTTCATCAGATGCATAAAAGTGGAAAATGTAGTGATGATGGTTTTTATACACACAGACCATGAAAAAATGGGTGTTTATCACTTCAAAAGGTTTTCTCCCCCCACCCCACTCTCCTGCTGGTAATAGCTTATCTAAAGTGATCACTCTCCTTACAATGTGTATGATAATCAAGGTGGGCCATTTCCAGCACAAATCCAGGGTTTAACAAGAACTTCTGAGGAAGGGAGGTAGGAAAAAAACAAGGGGAAATAGGTTACCTTGCATAATGACTTAGCCATTCCCAGTCTCTATTCAAGCCTAAGTTAATTGTATCTAATTTGCAAATGAATTCCAATTCAGCAGTTTCTCTCTGGACTTTGAAGTTTTTCTGTTGTAATATCACAACTTTCATGTCTGTAATCGCGTGACCAGGGAGATTGAAGTGTTCTCTGACTGGCTTATGAATGTTATCATTCTTGACATCTGATTTGTGTCCATTTATTCTTTTACGTAGAGACTGTCCAGTTTGACCAATGTACATGGCAGAGGGGCATTGCTGGCACATGATGGCATATCACATTGGTGGATGTGGAGGTGAACGAGCCTCTGATAGTGTGGCTGATGTGATTAGGCCCTGTGATGGTGTCCCCTAATAGATATGTGGGCACAGTTGGCAACGGGCTTTGTTGCAAGGATAGGTTCCTGGGTTAGTGATTCTGTTATGTGGTATGTAGTTGCTGGTGAGTATTTGCTTCAGGTTGGGGGGCTGTCTGTAGGCAAGGACTGGCCTGTCTCCCAAGATTTGTGAGAGTGATGGGTCGTCCTTCAGGATAGGTTGTAGCTCCTTGATGATGCGTTGGAGAGGTTTTAGTTGGGGGCTGAAGGTGACGGCTAGTGGCGTTCTGTTATTTTCTTTGTTGGGCCTGTCCTGTAGTAGGTGACTTCTGGGTACTCTTCTGGCTCTGT